ATACAAAGAAAAAAACTAAAAAACTCAAAATCTTAAGTCATATGAGAAATTCTACTCCGCTCATATCATAAACATTGGTAAAATGAACGATCCCTGAAAATTTCATCATGATAGCATGTATACTTTTCAAGATATTTTTCCCGGCGTGTTTAAAAATTAAATTCTTAGAAAACACAAAACAAAAAACAAAATCATAAATTATTGTTCATTTCATAAAAATATCTTTAAAAAATAGCTTTTTAAAAGAATATCTCAAAAACTACCAGATTCATAATATTCCTTGGACTTTTCTATTGACTTTTGATGATCATTTGATAATCGTTGACGTCGTAACATCTTTCGTTTCATCTTAAAACTTTCACTCGATTTAAATAATGATAGTTTTATTCGTTTTTTGTTTATGAGTCTGCAACCAGCTAAAGTAAAATGCCCTGGTTTCATATTTAGTTTTTCATAAATTAAAATGACAGACTTCATACCGATGTTATAATTTGCAACAGCATCGTACACTCCAAACTCTAAACTGGCTAAACCAACATAATTACTTTTTGGTAATCTATCCCATATTAAATTATTAAAACTCTCGTTGCAATTCTGGGTTTTGCCATGAAGACACTTTACTAATTCAGAATCTTTACTTAAATCAGCATATATTGGCTTGATTTTGTGAATAATATCCACAGGAATTCCTGGTCCAGGTTTGTATATGGAAGTAGACTTTGCTTTATCAATGTTAAACTTACACCAACTATCACCTCCAGTCGGGCAGTAAATATGATAGTTATTTTCCTTAAAAGAAGCTACATGGAAAAGGCTAGCTAATACTGCTTGTTTCATTTTATTCAGATCATTTGTATTGCTCCGGATAGCTACACCAAAAAATTTTTGCAAGCAATCAATAACTGCATTGGTTAGTCGACCACGACCACCTAGACCCTTAACATTTTTTTTTAACTTGCGTAAGCGAGTACCAACTCGTTTTTGGTAATGTCCTACACACTCCAACTTTTTTACCTCCATATTTGGGTATATATCTTTGATAGAAAGATGGGATTTACTATCCCTATCACCAAGAAATTGAGTATATCTTAACTTATGTTTTTCGATGGAGCGTTTAAAAACTCTCACTGCGCCAACTGATTCCATACCACCAGCTGTACCTTGATAATTGTACAGGCAAATATGTTTGTTTTTCCAATTAGCATATGCATCAGGATTTGATTTTTTTAATTGTTCTTTCATACAGCAAGCTTTACATGATTTATTCATAGGTTCAACATCAATTATTTTTCCACTATCTATTAAAATTGCGGTAAAAACTCCATTCATTGACTGATATCCTCTTTTCTGCCATGATCCATCGCATGATACACCAACATCAACAATGTCCTCACTAGTTGCATTTTCTTTCATTTCAGTTGCAGCATCTGACATTGTTTCGTTTGCAACACTTTTCACGATGTTTTTTATTTTAGTTGTAATTTTTTGAATAGTTTTTGGGTGTCATGGGTTTTGGCATATTCATGAGCTGAGTAAACTTTTCAATGCCAGAATGACCATGGCCTAAGACTCTCATTGCATATATTGTCCTTTTGTTAATATCAAACCCTTTATCACAAGCAACTGATGTATAAAATTCATGTTTATAGTCACAAGATAGTGTAGTACACTTTAAATATAGCAACGTTGCTAGACCTTTCTTTTTTTTCTGATGATCACCTAAGTACAGTGCACACTTTTCACATTGAGGACACATTAACAATGAAAGAACTTTAGATAAAATTTCAGTGTCTATAATTCTGTAACCAGTAATTCTTTTAATGTTTTTACTTGGTACATTTGTAACAACTTTTACTTTTTTAGCTGATGCGCCCAAAATATTTCTTTCAATAGAGTAACATTCACTTACATTACATGCATTTTTATTTTTCTTCACCATAAATCCTCTTCTTTTTTTATAGTAATTTGTTCTCTGCTTTACTCTATCATTAATATTTTTGTTCAAAATAACACCCAAATCAGTAGGTTTTGTCATATTTTTTAATTTCTGCTGTTATATAAATTAGCTTTGATAACTTGATAAAATCGTATTAAAGTAGCAATTGTAAATGGCATATAATAAGGAACAGAATATTAATTAGCAAAGAAGATATAAATCAAAGCATGTATTTGAAACAGTACTCCAGGATATGTTCACAAACAAAATATTCGCCCCCATAGCAACGCGTTGCTATGCAAATATTTTTTACTTGAGTTCAAAAAAACATAAATTGAACAAAAATTTATAAAAAAATGTTTGATTTTTTTTGCAGATTCAAAATCTGCATAAAATTTTGGTCTAAAATTATTAAAAAAAAAAAAATCAAATTTTTAAAAAAATGTGAGGGTAGTTGCCCCTTAATAACAGTTGCTTCGAAAGAGACAATTAAAAAAAAACAACTAAAAACAGACTGCGCAAAGGGATGTGCAAGGGTGTGTGATACCCCTATTCATTAAATTAATCGGCAAATTTAGACCTTTTTTAAACACGTAGGCGAAATGGTACTATTTAGCTCTAGTCGACAAATAAGAAAATTTAAGGACTTTTTTTTTTTTAATCGGCATAACCAGTAAAACACCACCCCGCTCCGTACTTTACACCAACAAATATATCAATTAATTATTTTTATCAATATCAATTAAATTAAAAAAAAAAAAAAAAGGAATATGGTTGAATAACTTTAATTTAAGATATTTACACGGTATATTATTGAAAATCTCCTGAGTAGTGGGTTCTAATCTTGCTAGTTGCCTCGCACGGTACTTATGCAATTGGAGTCCATAAATTGAATTGGGTTGTTGACTGGGGTTGCAAACTTTCTGACTATCGCTAGAGAAATAACAAGATTTTTGTAGATTTCTTTAAGGTAATTGAAAAAAAGTACAAAAAAAGTTTCCACCCTAAAAATTTGTGCGCTTGGAACATTTGCTCCACGGTAGCTACTCAGGATCTAAGCAATCTTCTACCATATATCATTTTTGTTTTATCTTTTATTAATATACTATAAGAGGTCGTCCATAAATAACGTCATGCAATATTTGACAATTTCGGACCACCCCACCCTAGTCACATATCGTCACGTTTACTGAACCCCCCTCCCAAAATTACGAAATTCTTTTTTTGTAACTTTAAATATACAACTTTTAATGTTCTCAGCTGCTTTTAGTTATCTAATGAATACATTTTAATACATATAGACTATTATTTAATACTAGCAGTAAGCAACCCGTAAAACGCACTGTTAGTAAATAAAACTAAAAAAAAAAAAAAAAAACGCGTATAGAAAAGCCTAGAAACTACTTTAAAATAGAAAAGCCTAGAAAATGACGTAACTCGATTAATAGTAATAATATTAAACTAGCGTATTTATATTATCAGATTACTTTGAAAATCATTAGTTATACGCGCGTACAAATAATAAGCCCACAAAAAACTATTTAAAATTTTAATTAATGTTAAATCGGAATTGCCGCAGTCCGGTGTACATCAACTGAAGGTTTATCTTTTAGACTAGACGCTTTAAATCAATAGAAAAGACTTTCTAAATTAAAAACTTATTAAAAAAAAAATGGTGCGTCACTAAAGTAAATACCAACCCCCCACTCCCCGTAACAAATCACAAACCCTTTCCCCCTCCTCAATTGCTATTTGTGGACGATCCTTATAGGTGAGTTTCCACTCATCCGTTTTTCTACGGGAAAGAGAACGGAAAAATAATCACGTGAGCATGCGCAGTTTTTTTTTTTGGACAAATAAAAACTTTTATTACGCATGCTCACGTGATTATTTTTTTATTTCCTATCCCGTTCCCATCGAAAAACGGATGAGTGGAAACTCGCCTTTAAGCTCATCTGTTTTTCTACGGGAACGGGATAGGAAAGGCAAAAATAATCACTTGAACATGCGCAAAAAAAAAATATTTTTTTGTCCGAAAGAAAACTGTGCATGCTCACGTGATTATTTTTGAGTTCCCTTTCCCGTAGAAAAACGGATGAGTAGAAACTCACCTTTAACTAGTTACATGTACAGTAATACGGTTAACAAATGTAAACCAGTCATAAAAAAAAAGAAAAGGTTATGGAGAGTTACATTTTGAATCTTATGTGACCCCTTGCGACCATTGTGAGTGATTTATTTTAACTCTAGATTTTGGTATTTTGGAAAATTATGGTAATATAAATTAATTCTTTTTTTTACCATGTACGTATGTAATGTATGTGGAAAAAAAGTTAAAGTGCGAATAGTTTGTATTAACTAAAGCGAAATGAACAATCATCTACCAATCAACTTTAGTTTTTTTAATTTTAGGGATTTAGTTAATGTTAGGTCTGAGAGAATTGTTGTGTCGAGAGAATTGTTTAGTGTCAAATCATGAATGATTCAATAAGGCTTTTTAATCAGTATCCCACTTTCTGAGTGTACAAATGATGGGGTGTTTTTAAACCCTAACTAAATGCACTGTTAAGCCCTATATTTTTTAGCGTAATGATTTATATATTTCACTATTAATGCAATATGTAACTTTGTTTTTTAAAGTGTACTTACTTTTCTTTTTTGAAAACATTTTACTTCTTAGTAAGTTTTTTTCTCGGGACGCGGAGGTATCATACTAACAGGGGTGTGGAGTTGTAAAAAAAAAGTAACGACTCCGACTCCAGTTGTTAAAACTTTTTGAGCACAACTCCGACTCCAAATCCAAAGCAAAATATTTGAAAAAATCTGTGAATTCTTTAAAAAATATTACGCGATAAGTTTAAAATTTCTTTTTTGACGAATTTATGTTATTTGAGGTTTAGTATGAACATAAGGTTACTTGAATATTTTGTACATGCATGTGCAATACCGACTATTGAAGTCGGAGTCGCGATTTTGTTTAGCGACTCCGACTCCGCTAAAAATGTCGCAACTCCGCAACTCCCACTCCGACTCCATAGCCCTGCCTACTAAACCGAAACTTTAATAAAGAACATTTTTAAATATTTATAACATAGAAAAACAAATTAAAAAAAAAAAAAAAGAAATCAGTCTAAAGGATAAAGTTCTTTAAGCCAGGGACGAGCAAGATATTGAGAGCCATCAAATAACTCAAAATAGTCAATTATATCTGGATGATCAACCTGAAACAGAAAACTTTAATAAAGTAAAGAAAAAAAATTATTTGAAAATAAAAAACAAAAATAACAAAAAACTAACATCTTCTTTTCTGAACAAAATAATACGCACATTATAAACTATATCCTATTTTTTATAAAAATATAATAACTTTCAAAATAAATTAATATTTTATGTGAAGCAATTTAAATCAATGTAAATAAAAAAAAGTGACTTAAGTCTTAAAACTTAAGCAAACGCATTGGGTTGTTCGGAATATCCTTTCGGTTTTAATTATTAAATTTAAAAACAATTTATCTTTTACAAAATGTAAATTTAATCTCTAATATATTGACCGATTTGTTCTAATTGATTGCCATCTTTTCGGTAATTTCACGATGCCTTATTTATAATTACCTTATTTATTTTTTCTTTTTTTTTGCAATAACATCAAGGTGCGGATTCACAACTCTTTCGTAAGTCCCAAATTTGCGAAAAGTTTGCGTAAGTTTTGCTTAATTTCAAAATTATGCAGTCATATACACAAACCTTGCGCAAGCAAAAAATGGCGAAATTCCTAAGTTTTTAAGTTATTACTTACGCAAAAAGTCTAAAAAACGGTATTGACGACATTTTCCTAAAAAGTGCTCAGCAAACTTTTCTGATATTTTCTGACGTAACTTTAAATTATCTAATAATATTATAAAATGGTGTTTTTATTTTTGTAAAAGATTTCAGATTTAGTTTGTTATTGCCAATAAAATATAATTTTATATTAATTTTATACTGCTATACGTTAATTTTTTAATACGTTATTTTTTTAAATAATACAACTATAACTTTTTTTTTAACAGCAACAACAATAGCAATATATTTACCAACAATATAAATGTACTACATAAACTTGTTTTATAAAACTTGTTTTCACCTTAAATTTAAGGTTAAAAAAACATACATACAATCTAAATAATGGATGGTTCACTCTCATAGCCTAACTAAAACAAGGAGAGTGACCATAGTATGGATATATCACATAGTTCTTAGCATGCCAATAACTTATTAAATAACTTAATAACTAGTTATTGTCATCCTTCAAAACTATATGATGTATCATATAGTTATACTATATTAACTTATGGTTTATCTTTACTATACTATCTATACTATACAATAATATTATTGAAGCATATACTTTAACTTGCATAACTAGCATAAAGCGAGAGTCTCTCTCTGTGTGCGAGAGAGGGGAAATATGTGCCAATATACATTCCTGGCCAAAAGTTTGGCAACACAACATAAATTTTTGAATTGTTAGCCTAGCTTTTTTATTTCTTGGCTTAGAGTAGCGACATTTACTTAATGTTTGCAGTGATGATCTTTTTTAATGTTTTTAGCAAAATCTAATGCTATCTGGCGAGATTTAGCGTTTGTTGACTGTTTTATGACCTTTGTTTACTTTCGTATGTTTATATGAATTTCGGAGTTTAAGAGTGTCATATTCTAATTGTGGTAAATAAGGCATTTTCTTTTACTTTTCTTTATTTGCTTTGAATTAAATAAAATATTTAACTATTTATTTAATATTTAACTATTCAACTATAAATATTTTGCAACTATTTTGTTCATATTAATCCGGTATATGAATAATGTGACAGTTGATTTTCTTAAGAGTTTTGCAGCAAGTTATATGCTTAATATTAACAATTTAGTTTGTAATAACACAAAAATTATCTCTAGTTATGTTCTGTGCTTTATTTTTAAAAGAATTTGTTTTCTGTAAATAGAGAAATCAAATGTAAATATAAATATTTAAATATGACATTTTTATAGATCATGGTCAGAGCCAAGGAGCTAACAACAAAAAAACGAGCTCAAGTGGAAATTCTTTGGAAAAGAGGATTTTATTACCACGAAATTACACAAGAACTGAATATTAACAGGTCAACAGTGTGTAGAACCCTACGTCGCATTGAGACAACAGAGCTATAAGTCCAGACCACGAAGCGGTAGACCAAGAAAAACTGATGCGAGAACTGATCGATGACAGCCACAGTGTCATCTCGTTCTTCTGCTGTTCATATTTGTTCAAAACTGCAAGGTGCTTGTGCAGCCATCAGTAACAGGACGATCCGGCGCAGACTTTTTGATTTGGGCTTAAAAGTTGCACTATTTCAAGAAAGCCAAAGTTATCTAACAAAAACATCAAAGATCATTTAGCATTCTGCAACCGCCACAGAAACTGGTCTGATGCTGACTGGCGTAAAGTTATATTTTTCGATAAAAGTACGTTTACTCAGTTTTACAGTTTCTAGAAAGGTTCATAGACCTGCCAGAAAAAGATTCAATGCAAAGTATGTTCTACCAACTGCTAAACAGCCTCAGAAGATTATGGTTTGGGGAAGCATATCTGCTTAAGGACGTGGAGCCTTATGGTTCATGCCACGTAACACGACAATAAATGGAGCTGTTTACTTGAATATCCTGCAAGAGAAATTACCCAATTTCATGACAATTCACTCCACATCAATCTTTCAGCATGGTGGAGCTCCCTGTCATACTGGTAAAGTTGTAACTGAATGGCTCACAAGGTCTAGGTACACCTTTTTAGTCAATGGCCTAGAAATTCGCCGGACTTGAATCCGATCGAAAATGTATGGATATACATGAAAAAGAAAGTTGCTGCACTAGCTCCAACATCACTTGAGAACCTACAGGAAAAAATTAAGCAAGTGTGGATTACTGAAATCATGAACGACTACTGTTAGAATTTGGTACTGCCCGTGTCACGCTGCATACAAGCTGTTGTCCAAGCAAAAGGATAGTGCACTAAATACTAAAAAATATTATAATACTTGAAAGATATAGGCAGGCTATCATTCTGTAATGACATGTTAATAATTAAATCAAATTAATTAAATATGTAATAAAATTTTTTGAATATATTGAAAAAATGCATTTCTCGCTTGTTGTTGCTAAACTTTTGGCCAGGACTGTAGATACAATATTCACAAAAATATGTAATTTATTCATTAGTTTTTCAAATATCTATTTTTTTAATTTATAAATGAGAACAAGGGTATTTTAAAACAAAATAATGTTGAAATTATCTCTGAGTAATCAGGCTATTGAAGTAACAAACAATTATAACCTAAATATTAAACTTACTTTGAATAATGATGCTTTGTTTTACGATAATTTTAATTATCCAGAGGTGTTAACAATATTAAGATTATTTTGAATATTATTGCTCTGTTGTTAATTATTTCAACTAAGTAGATAATAATATCTATGGATTATAAATTAAGTAGATAATAATATCTATGGATAATTTAAATTATTAAAAAAAAGAGCTTTGTTTTTCAAAGCCTAATTTCTTGGTAAATAATATTGTTATTCGCAAATAATAAACATATTCTGTAATAGTTTAAATTGTTTTGGTAGATCTTTTATTTTGTATTTCTATATAAAATCTCATTGTTGTAGTTTATTATTGCAAAGAGCAGGAATCTCATAAAAAATTCCTTGGTACAACAGTTAGTCCAAATTCAATACTTGTTCTGTCAATGAGTAAAACTTTTTATATCAAATATAAGAATGTTTTTATTCTTGCAAAAATGGTATCATAAATTCTCAATCAAAAATATCACTGAAAAAAACTAATAAAAACAAGTGGATTTTAATTCAAATTCAACTTTTTAAAATTTAGTTTATAATTCGTCTGCTCTCTAATAATGGTTTTTACAAGTTAAATGATGTATGCAATTTTATGTAGCAAAAATTTTATGTGGCAAAAAAATTTTATGTGGCGTGTTTTATTCTAAATGGTTAAGTAATAATTATTCATTCAATATTCATTCGCCTCGTAAATTTCAACACTTATTTTAAAATTTTTTGTCATGCAGTTTTTTTTGCTTTTACATCTCTAGTCTTTCTGAAATAAGGACAATCCTGCATAAAATTTGGATTAAATGAATTTGATACCAAAATAATTTTGAGCAAAATTTTCCATTCATAGATTAATATGTAAAAACATAGGTTAATGTGTGCAAATTATGAAAAATTAGACACCTTTACTCAAAAAAATTATAAATAAAAAAAAGGAATTTGAGCCTCTAATAAAACTGTTTATAATTTATCTAAAGAGGAAACAGCAACATTTTGGAAATTAATTTTTTCAAATTACATCTTAATCCAATGAATATTTATTCAACTAATTTTGAAAAAAACTTTTCAGTTATTAAAGTAAGATTTTTACATGCAACTAATATACTGAAAAATAAATTCAAATAATTTTTCAAAAATGTCTCCATCCTTGTTACTTTTGTTGCCATTTTCACTGTTATCAAATTATTATGGCCATTTTTTGTTGCATTTGAACACTATGACCTTGACACTGTCCGCAGTCATGAAATTTTATTCCTCCATGTTGACATTGTTTTCTATGTTTTAGTGCTGCAACTACATTTTGTAATGTCAGGAATGTGCATTCAAAACAAAAGTATCAACAGTGCAGTATGAAGCTTAGTACATACAATGCAAAGTTTTGATTATTGTTTTATATGTTTCAGTATGTTTGACCAACCAAACTTATACACTGCGTAAATACTGGTTTATTAGAAAATAATAAGAAACAAACTTCAATTATTAGAAATAAATTAACAGTAATAACAATAATAATAACGGTAATAATAAAAGCCTATGATCAGTGTATACCATACATTTGTGCTCCAACACAAGATACTTGGTGCTGTATTAGGATCTTTAAAGAATATACATAAACTTTGAGTTAATTTGTTACTTAATTTGTAAATAACTACTGATTAGAAGAAATGTTACATTTATGTCAATGAGCAGAAGAAATTCTTAATTTACTTCAAATTCAACTAACGTGGCAATTGGTATATAAACAACAGACATTCAAATACCTTAATTATAAGCATAAATACTTAAATGGCACAATTATGGCCTTAACAATTAAAAATCCAATAGTGGGCAATTATTAAAAAACCAATTACATTTGTTATTAGAAGTTTTATTTTTTTTGAATGATTTTAAACATTTGTATAAATAGAGTCAATTATTATTATGTGTTGACTTAACAAGTACGTTATATAACCAATATAAACAGTTAAATTTGATCTTCAAATATATAATTTTTAATACATAATTGGTATTACTTGTGATTACCATGGAAACAACTACCTTCCCCTTGACAAAAAAGCGCATATATATTATTACAACCCATACATAGGTGAAAAACAGATTTTTTTCGCATGACTTTTTTCACAAGATTTTATGCAACATTCTTTAAACTGATAGTTTCCATATTTTTAAAATACACTTCTTAGCTTTACAAAGCAAAAAAAATTGCAGATATATTTTGATTCTACATGTAAACCAAAATCACAAGAATGTTAGAGTAATCAGTAATTATAAGAATGTCAGAGAAATCAGTTATAGCAATTTCTCTTTCAAAAGCGCTTATCAAGGCAATTTAAACTAAGAAGTTCATAATACATTAGCTAATGCTTAACCAGACATATGCATGAGTTATTTGCATAAATAAGTTCAAGTAATCAGTCCTAATTCCTCCATGACATGATGATGTTGCCTGGTCCTCACTAGTATAAAAGCAAAATTTGCCAGAAAATGGCAACAATAAAAGAAACAATGTCTGTGATGACTGAATCTCAACAATCCACTTATAGGATACTTTTTGTCAATGTGTGTCAAAAACATTATACCACAAAATCAACATGTTTGCAATCAAAACATTCACAGTGATATATAAAATTATTGCTGTGTTTTTCCAACTACTTGATCATCAGATTCACGACCTTTGCAAATCAAACAAGTTTCTTAAAAATTTTTTTTTTGTGTTTGGCATTTTATACTTTTATTTGAACTATTTTTTTATTTATTAATAAAATTAAAAATCATCAAAAGGGCCACTACAGTCAAGGAGGCCACTTCTTGTGTTTACAACTTTCTCTCAAGTCTTTAACTTTGAAACACAAACTTTGACTAACAAGGCCGTACACAGAAAGTCAAGTGGAGCACTACAGGATTGCCACTATAAATTTTAAAGTTTTTTCCTGAGTTTTCCCTGAGTAAAGAACGTTTTTCCTTGAGTTGAACTCTTTAAATTTCCTGAGTTTTCCCTGACTTTTTTATATTCTTTCCTGTTCATCAACAAGATTATTATTTTTCTTAATTAAACAAAACCTTGATATTTGACAAATTAAAACTTTTACAACAACACCCACAACTTGCAAACTTATTATTATATGTATTAGCAAAATAATTTTGAAAAAAAAAATTATTGTACAAAATTTCAAATAAAAAAATATTTTCCCTGAGTTTTCCCTGAATTTTATGAAAATTTTAAAAAATCCCTGAGTTTTCCAGATTTTCCCTGGGACTCATGCTATTTCCAGGTATTCCAGGTTAAGTGGCAACCCTGCACTACTATTAGGGTTGTGGTGAGGATCGAACTCTGAACTTCTCGCTTATGAAACGAGAACTCTACCACTACACCACTACTGCATAAGTTAAGCGTGATACTTCTAAAGAGGTGGTGGGTTTGTACTCAATACCTCTTGCTTGCAAAACATTTTATAACTATCGCAGAAACAAATAAATAATATATTTGAATACATCTATAAATAATATTCATTAAAAGAAATAAAATAAAAAAAAAATAACAAAAAAAATAATAATAAATAAATAAAAATAAATAAATAACAAAAAAAATAAAAAAAATAAAAAAAATTAACAATAAAAAAACCATATAGCTTTATAAATGTTACCTCATGGTTTAAAACAACTTCTAGATGGTCTTCAACAACATAAGCAATCTTGAAATTTACTCGAGACTTAGTGTCCACCAAAATAGAATAGCTTGGTTGATTCAGCAAAAACTAGTTTTAAAAATAAATTTTAAATGTTGATACTTTGAATACTGTGTCATCAAACTTTTGTTTTAAATTAATTTCTTTTATTAATAATATCAAATTTAATTTAAAATCTAATAATTTTGGGTCACAGGGTTATTCATTTTTATATGCGCATCTATTTATTTTTATATTCGCGTTTATTCATTCTTATATGCGTATTTATTAATTCTTATATGCTTTATAAAAAAGTCCAGTTTTTTCAAAACAAATTGTTCTTATTTCCTGGTAAACAAGGTTAAAAATACTTAAGACAAAAACTTTTTACATTCGATGATGGTTTATTTAGGTTACAACTACCCTCTTTTTCTTACCTAATTTAGTATAAGGTCTTTGTTTAATTTTATTATTAAATTTATTGATAGATTAAATTATTATTTATCTAACTATTCATTTATCTAGATTTAAATTTAATTGTTTATAACTATTATTAATACAAAAATATTTACCATATGGATGGTGGAGATAATAGCAGTGCCAATCGAAAAACAAGGAAAAATATTACAAAAGAGCACATTGAAATGCTTAAGCATTTTAGTTGAAAGAAATGAACAAGAATTTACACTTCTATTAATTTATCTAAGCCCACAATTCAAAACCTTGTCGCTATGTTAAACAGAGGAGAATTTGACAACATGACTGCATTCAAGTTGTTTTCTGATTTTAAAAAAAACAAGGTTAAAGACCTATAATCGCTCAAATAAAATTTTTTTAATTGAATTATGCATACAAGAACAATCTTTGTATGCAAGAAGCAATTAAAGAAAATCTATTTTTTAAATAAATAGCAGTGACAACCTAATTTATATTTTGAATATATCTATATAAAAACAAAAAAGCCTATTTATTGTTTTTATAAAATTATATAAGAGATGTTATGGGTAGTTAACTCGCATATAAGAATGAATAAACACGGATATAAGAATGAATAAATACACATATAAGAATGAATAAACACGCATATAAAAATGAATAGTCACGCATATAAAAATAAATAGACGCGCATATAAGAATGAATAACCCTGTAAATGAGAAAGCTCCTTTTTTTCAACAATTTTTGATATGTGCAAAAAATTTGCATACTTCCTCCTTTCACAAAATAAAATTTTCATATCTAAGCCGATTCATTAGTTCAACTAAACTGTTGCAACTGAAGTTATTCTGATGTTTCTATTGCTAAAAAATGATTTTCTTTTACATTTTCATAACTTTAATTTTAAATTCTAAAAAAGTAAGGCTTGTTTCTTTGTTTCTGAGCTTCATTTTTTATTTTGAAAATCATTTTCAGTTCTTATAATACTTATGCTACATAGTACAATTTTTCAGTAGATAATAATTTTTCAGATTTTTGATATAAATTTATATCAAAAACAAGAATCTCTATTTGAGCACCACACCTAAAATTTTAGTTCCACATGGAACTAAACAGTATGCTTGGTCAATCACTAGTTAACACCAGTATTTGCTAATGTTGCCTCCTTATTATACACGCATGCTCTAACAGCTTAGCTTCAGCCATTGTCATTTCGTTGTAATGTTTGATATTTTTCTATAAATATCATCATTGTCCCAGTTCAAGTTATAATCTCTTGTTGCATAAACAAAATTTCAACCTTGAGAGATTTGTAAATCTGCTAAGTCAGTCCTTTATAGTACTTTTATGATCAAATAAAAATGTTTTATTACTCACTTCAAAACAAAATAGAATTGTCCTTGATACCTAAATGCAATAATACTCTTGATAATTCTGCCTTCAATAAATTCAACCTTAAGATTAAGGAAAGTTTGTTCATTGAAAGGAAAAATCTAGCTATGATCAAACAGTTAAACCATTTTATAATATCACTTTTCACATAATAGTTACCATTTAATTAGTCATTAATCTTTTATTAAATAATTTAATAACTTTTTTATTGTATCTTTTATTACCTATTTTGTAATAATTAATAAAAAATTGTAATTTATATTTCATTACCATAGAATATTTGTACACAAAATTAAATAAGTTTTTTTTTTTAAACCCAACTGAAGATGACCGTGAAATAGTCAAAACATGTATTTAGTATATGTAAACATGTATGTAGTCAACACCGGTGATTTTTAATCATAATTTTAATCATTTGTGTTTATCTTGTTTAGTTTTATCTGAAGATATGGAGTTGATTTAAAGGCATTTTTATGAATACTTTTAAGATGTAACCATGTTACTTTAGTTACAATAAGTAAACTATTTTACTTTAGAATTTAACCTTGTTATTTGTAAATAATTATTGAAAATTATTTAAAGTATTTTAACATTTATTAACTATATTTTAGTAAATTTAATATTAGTAGTTATTATTGTTTTAAATATTTAGTAACTAAATGTTTAAATATTTTAAACAATTTTTAACCAATATTTACATTACATATATTAAATTGTGTAATCTTTGTAAAATTAACAAAATAGTTTTACGTCTTCAAATAGCTATTCAAATAAAAAAGCAGTTCACTCTTAACTTTTTTTTCACTTATTTTTATTATTCTTCACAAAAAAAAATTTTTAAAGGAAATCTACCCTCTCTAATATCAAATTTACTGGTAAATTTTACTGGTAAATTTTGAATCAAATTTTACCGGAAAATTTACATCATTACTCTTAATTGCTAACAAACAAAAGTTAATTTTACTATGAATGGATATTTTAGAATTGTTCTATCTTTCGAATAAGCAAATTTTTTATACATTCCATTGTTATAAAATTTTGTAACAAGTTTTTAAAATTAAGTTTCATAATTCATTTTTTTTAAAACATTCAGTTATTAACCGAAGGAAACTTACATCACATAATTACGTGAAAAAAAGCAAATGGTTTTTAATTCATTTTGTCGTCCTGAAAAAAAATAAGGTTGCTAAAATAAACTGATAATTATTTATACACTACTGCATTTAAAACCAAATTTTTTTTTTTTATTTTAACAAAAGAGCAAAAGAAAAACTAAAAGATAAAATAATTCTTAAGAGTTTTTTTTGGGGCCCCATACCGCTCCAGCGGCACTAAAACAGGTTTGGGTTTGTCCCTGTATGTATATATATATATATATATATATATATATATATATATATATATATATATATATATATATATATATATATATATATATATATATATATATATATATATATATATTGCCAACATTGTATAAAAAAATGTTTATTCATAAATATTTATGTATACTTCGTCATGGTATCAAAAACCTTAGTAAGTAACATTGATGGTGCATCTCCGACTTATTATTTTTTAACTTAAGAGAAGATACATTATATACTCCAGATATATTATGAAGAAAAAAATTAAAAAATCATTTACATGCAATACAATTTCAAATAAATACTTATAAAATAAAATAAAAAATAAATATGATCTGTAAACCCAACTTAACTTACAGATGTTGGCAAATAGCAATATATATATATATATATATATATATATATATCAGTCTTCTTTGTTTGGGCCGCACTTTTTTTTAAACTGCACCAAATCTTTTTTAGTCTATCAAATACTTTTACAAAAAATCATAAAAAACACTTTTATGTATGAGTTATTTTATTTAGAATTTAAATAAAACATTCTTTTTGTTGTTTTTATTTTAACTATCTAGTATTTAAAGGCTAATGTTTTCAATTTTTTGATTAAAACTAAATAACTAATGCATACCAATAAAATTAAAATTTTCATTTTGTTTGCTTTTCATTTGCAGCTACTTATATATATATATATATATATATGTATATATATATATATGTATATATATATATATATATATATATATATATATATATATATATATATATATATATATATATATATATATATACTTAGCGCATTTTGCAGATAGGCTCCTCATATATATATATATATATATATATATATATATATATATATATATATATATATATATATATATATATATATATATATATATATATATATATATATATATATATATATATATATATATATATATATATACTTAGCGCATTTTGCAGATAGGCTCCTCATATATATATATATATATATATATATATATATATATATATATATATATATATATATATATATATTTTTTTATTTTAATTCACCTCCTCAAGGTCGAGAAGGCCACTACAGACGAGGAGGCTACTTATTTGTGGCTATAACCCTCTCTCAACTCTATAACTCCGAAACACGAACCTTGACAAACAAGGCTGCTGCGCGGAGAAACGAGTTGAGCGCGGTACTACCAGGGACGTGGTGGGGATCGAACTCGGAACCACTCGTTTATGAAGCGAGCGCTCTACCACTACACCACTACCGCATATATATATATATATATATATATATATATATATATATATATATATATATATATATATATATATATATATATATATATATAAATATATATATAAATATATATATACATATATATATAAACATATATATATATATATATATATATATATATATATATATATATATATATATATATATATAATGCTTGGACAGGAATGGCATGTGATCGACAACGCTATTGCTGCAAAAACATCCATTTTTGTTAATTCAAAAGTTTTGATAACATTCTATTCTTTATCTCTATAAATCTCAAATCCATCCTTGTATGGAATATTGTTGCCATATCTGGGGGTTGGGGGAGGCGGAGGGGAATCTTCCAACAATGCCCTTTCTCTTTTAGACAAGGTACAAAAACCCATTGCAAACATAGTTAGACCTGCTCTTGCAGTCAACCTCCAAACATTATCACATCGTTGTAATGTTACTTCTCTTTCTCTTTTCTATAAATACTATAATGGGTACTGCTCTAAAGAGATCAACTCGCTTCTCCGCGCAGCGGCCTTGTTCGTCAAGGTTCGTGTTTCGGAGTTATAGAGTTGAGAGAGGGTTATAGCCACAAATAAGTAGCCTCCTCGTCTGTAGTGGCCTTCTCGGCCTTGAGGAGGTGAATTAAAATAAAAAAAAAAAAAAAAAAGAGATAACGTCTCTTGTGCCATCTACTAAAATTCATTCTCATGTTACTGGCCATTCTATTAAATCTCGTCCTTTTACTGTGACTGTTCCTAAGTGCTCTAAAAATGCTTATTCATCCAATTTTTTACCGTGAACATCAGTTCTTTGGAATTTGCTTCTTTCATCTTGCCTTCTTGATTCATATAACTGTAACTAAGGTATCTGTTAGTGTAAACTCCAGTTAATTTTAAGTATTTATACTAATAAAAAAAATAATAAAAAAGATCAAAATTGTTATAATTTTATAACATTATTTTATAACAATAAGTATTTAAATTTTATAACATAAGTTTTCAAGTTCATAACAAATTTGTTAGAAAGACTTCAACACCTCAGATTAAATGTGATGTGTATTATAATTAATACATGTTGACAAAATTTGAGAAACCATATAATCATTAATAAATGTTTAGAATTTTAAGAACCCATACAATAATCTTTAAATATTTTTAAAAAATTTCAGAAAAAGCTTTTTTAAAACTTCTATTTTTATAAAATTTTAACACTTTGGCTGCGGCAAGCCACAATCATGACTTTTCCATTGAAGTGCAGTGAGCCACGATCCTGGCTTTTAAAACTGATCTTTGAAATTATGACCTTTATTGCAAAAAATTATTGCTTTTCTAAATTATCACTCATTATTTATACAATGAAGGCTTTAACTTTTTGTTTATAAATTATGTAGATGTTATAAAATGAAAAATGGCATACAAATCTCAAGTTTTTTTTTTTTTATTATTCCATTTTCAATTTTTATAGTTGAACTTTTTTAAATATCTTTTATTTTTATCAAGCAGCCAAAGGATTAATAAAAACATAACATAAAAAATAAAAAACTATTATAAAACTTTTATAAAATATATATTTTTATAAAATTTTAATAAAAACATGATATAAAAAATAAAAAAACTAACTTTATCCAAGTTATTGGCTTGTATCCAAAGATCTGGAGCCTTAAAAAAAAAGAAACTTTTTGAGACTTATATATATATATATATATATATATATATATATAAATAAATATATATATATATACATATATATATATATATATATATATATATATATATATATATATATATATATATATATATATACATATATATATATATATATATATATATATATATATATATATATATATATATATATATATATATATATATATATATATATATATATATATATATATATATATATATATATATATATATATATATATATATATATATATATATATATATATATATATATATATGTAAGACAAAAAACATTTAAAAAATAATAAAACAGTTTAAAAAAAAAAACTGCATTAAATAAAATAAAACAAAAACTCAATTTTTTTAAACTTAGTTTTTAAGTTATAAGTAGAAATTCAAGTCATTTTTATTAATCATAAAGAATGTACATTTTCACATTGTCATAGAAAATTTTATTTATTAGATTTTTATGGACACTAAATAAAATTTAACTAGCTTATTGATAAACAATCAATAAATGCAGTTTACTGATTGTTTATCAATAAACTGTTTGTTAAAGTTTCATCTTCTTTATTATTACATTAAACCGCGTAATTTTAAAAAATTTGATTTGTTTTTACCTGGGATTGAGTTACTCTTAAATTTATTTTGAATTAGCGATGAAGCAGGAGATTAAAAACTGTAAAAATACTGAAAAGTTTTTATGTTTTAACTTACAATTATTTGTATACAGAACATTTAAGCAATAATAATTTAAAAAAAAAAACATTTAATTATTTACAAAATTTCGCTGTCTCAACAGTTTAAATGGTGTATAGACTTCTAATAAAGCACAACATGAATTATATGAAACTTATGCAGCTAAACAAACATAACTGAAAATGGAGTTACTAAAACTTATGCAGCTAAACACTCCAATATTTATTTACTGGTTTTATTTTTGGTTTCTATCAATTATGGCTTCCATGATATTACCATTAGAAATCAAAAAATATTTCTTTTAATTGCAAGTACTATTGATACTACCATTTATTCTTGTCACAATAAGAAGCCAACTCCCTCTGATTGCTTGCAGGGGGCATCTGAGCTTGAAAAGGAACTTTAATTCAGATAAAACTCAATTTTTTTCAGCCAATCGTTATTGCAATAATTTAGACCTTCCTATATTTATGAACGGTAATGTACTCTATGAGTCTCCTACCCTTCATCTTCTAGGATTAACTCTTACTTCTGATCTTTCTTGGAAACCTTATATCAAATCCATTGCAAAATTAGCATCTGCTAAAGTCGCTTCTCTTTATCGAGCTCGTCACTTTCTTACTCTGGATTCTATTCTCTATCTCTATAAATCTCAAATCCGGTCTTGTATGGAATACTGCTGCCATATCTGGGGTGGATCTCCTAATGATGCCCTTTCTCTTTTAGACAAGGTGCAAAAACGCATTGTAAACATAGTTGGACCTACTCTTGCAGCCAACCTTCAACCTCTGTCACATCGTTGTAATGTTGCTTCTCTTTCTCTTTTCTACAAATACTATAATGGGCACTGCTCTAAAGAGCTAGCGTCTCTTGTGCCATCTACAAAAATTAATTCTTGTGTTACTCGTCATTTAATTAAGTCTCATCCTTTTTCTGTTACTGTTCCTAAGTGCTCCAAAAACTCTTATTCGTCTAGTTTTTTTCCTCGAACATCAGTTCTTTGAAATTCGCTTCCTTCATCTTGCTTTCCTGATTGATATAATTTTTAATCTTAAGTTGTCTTTCAATCGTTATCTTGCTCTACAATCTTCATCTTTTCTCTTCCAGTAACTTCCAACACTAATTAATGGTTGCTTGCAGCCTTGTTGGAAGCGAAGATGTTAAAAAAAAAAAAAGAAGAAGTTATTCTCTTAATGTTAAAAAATTTAAAAACTTGACTTTAAAAGGTATTTGATAAAAAAATTCTCTTATATCTTCTTGTACTAAAAAAAATAAAACAGCGTTAAAACAGCTATTTTCCTAGCACAATCCTATTGGCTTTTAAAAAATCATCAGTTTAATGGTCAAAGAGGAACTAAACTTTTTAAACAATTTCTAAAACTGGAGGAGACACATAAACCATCAAAATTTTATAAATTTAATATAAGATTCAGTGTGTTTTGAATTATGTAAAAATTTGTTCTGTTGTATCAGCATTAAGAAGTGAAAGGTAATATATGCTTAACGCTTCCATAACTGAGAACTGCGAATTCTGTAGAATTATACTAAAATATACTAAACACATAGCTACTTAAATAAAAGATAATTTCTTTGCCTTTGTTGAAGAATTTAATCCTTTGTATTTGTATGCAAAGTCTCTTTGAGACATGTACTTCTTAGAGCAAGTTATGTGTACTTTTTAGAGCAAGCTGTGCAAGAAAAAGTGCTTTAAACTAATTCACCAAGGCATCTACATCTATAATAAAATTTTCTTAAAAAGAATATCATTTTCCATAGTTTTAATATCAAAATCTTTATTTCCTTACTATGTGCACTTAGTTTCTAACAGTACCACAGTTTTCACCAATATCAAAAATATATATGTATAACATCCCATGTGACCGGACTATCTGTTTCTAATAACTATGACTTTTAATACTTTAGATGCATTAGATTTCCCTAAAATAGTATCTAATTTTAAACTATTTTTGTAGCATTTTGAAATTTTTAACAAAGGATATTTAAAACATCTAAATTTAATATTTTTCTTACTTAATGAAATATATTTAATATTTTTCTTAATCAATGAAACCTGTTCTTGGAAATATTAAATCAAGTTGCTTTAAAACTCTAAGATGAAATCTTACATCACTAAAAATAATCTTAAATCATTTAGTCTATGTAGTAAGCCATAAATAGTAGTTGTCCCAAGACTTTCTTGTTAAAATTCAATTACTTTAACAAATCTCTTTTTTGGTCCATTTAACATTTTTCAACATTCTTTATAAAGTTTTTCACACAGAAAATCTAGAAATATCTAGAAATTCCAAATTTGAGAATGACAAAAAATTTTGCTATTCTCTATTAAAATGAAAGAAACGTGATTGGTACAAAACTAGTGAGTTGGCTCAGTAATTTTGTACCAATCATGTTTCTCTACACACTAATGGTTTGGTACCACAACACATCAATCTCAAATTTTCCTTAATGTTATTTCCTTTATGCCAGCGTTTTTAATACTTACCAGCTACAGCATTATTAACATATGTGAACAAAATTGATTTTGAAAGCTAGGTCTAATTATACTTATGGAAAAATTGTATGAATGCTGTTTTTGTGAAAAATTGCACAAGACATCTTACATCAACTTAAGGAAAAAGAATTGTTTAAATCTATCACATAAACATTGGTGTTTGTGATAAAAGAGTTCCTCAGGGCTTTTGTGAGCTGTGTAAATCAACCATAAAAAAGATGGGGACAAAGATGTCATACTGTCTCCACTTTTAATTTTCTCTACCATCAAAGATTGATCTGAGGCATGGTATCAAAAATTTTGATTGTTAAATAAGGCACTAAAAGCTGACTGAAAAGTAGACCACTAAAATTTCACAAGAAGGATCACAAAAGAGGTGTACAGACTGCCTAACCCTTTTGGGGCAGAGCTTGCAACATGATTGCAAACTATAAACCTTACAAGAAAATCTTAAGCTACTTGCCACATTAGTTATAGCTGCAATAAGCTAACAGTATCAAATTTGACTACAAAAAAGAAAATAGCATCAAATTTGATTGCAAAAAAGGATGCAACACCAGGAGAAACCATCAAAATTTTCTAACTAAAGGATGGTCAACCTATGAAAAACAACCACACACACACATCTCTATCGATGGGATCATTGATGGAGTAAAAGCAAAGCTAATCACCTTGTTGTTTAAAGCATCAGGCTTGATAAGGACTTTTTGTTTTGGTATAATTAGTTTGACCATTATTAATGATGTTGAATATCCATCAAGTAAGTGACTGCTTGTTGTAATTGTAATTGTCGTTTTTTACTTGATTTTTTCTGCGGTAAAATCTATCTTGTCATTTTTAATCATGAACTTGGGTATTTTACCACTTAGTCATTTTAGTGCTTGAACAATTTTTAATTAATATTTTGGGTTGGCATTAAGGTTGCCTGTTCAATCAAAAACCCTTAGTCAATGAATGTACACTCCAGGGTGGCCACATTTTTTTGAGTAAAAAATTATAATTTCATGGAGAAACCTGAAAAAAGGAATAAAAAAAATTATTTAGGAGAATTAAAAAAACTTTTTTTTTTTTTAGAAATTATTCAAAAATTTTAATAAAAAATTTGAAAGTTCAAATGTTCAAAAGAAAACTTCAAGTTCAAAAAATAAGTTTAAATTTATTTCGATATTTAGTATATTTTAGGAGAAATTAGGTCTTTCTAGGAAGTTTTTTTTTAATATTAGGATATTTTAGGATTTATTAGGAGACATGGCCACCCTGACTCTGCATAAGTTCTACCTATTTAAATCAGTCAATCTATATATATATATATATATATATATATATATATATATATATATATATATATATATATATATATATATATATATATATATATATATATATATATATATATATATAAACAATAATAATAATAGCACAAAAATAAAATTAAAATATAAAATAAGCTACAAAAAAATGTAAACAAACACTTTTTGCTTTGTAAATAGAATTACAGTTAAAAAAAAAACAACAGTTAAACATTAATCACTTTAAATTAATATTATAGTATAATAATAGATAATGATAACATTAATAACAATACCAATAATGATGAGAGTGAGATTTCGAAATAAAATGGTAATATAAAGAATAAGTATCAGCAGTATTATATCAGAAATGAGGAGAGTAATAGAGTATATATAATGGAGTAAACAACAGTAGAGGAACATAGGAATTAGAAAGAATAGTTACTTAATAAGAAATTAAACAGACCATTTATATTTGGAAAATGCAGGGAGAGATTTAAATTGTACAAGGAGATTATTCCATGTGCATATTAGGGATGTTATTGATTAATCAATAACATTTATTTTTGATTTGATTAATTAATCGATTAATCAAAAAATTAGAACAATTAATCGACATTTTATATTAGGATTAGGTTTGATATAGAATTTTTTACAATTTTTTCCAACTTTATACACCGGATCGTCGACACTGGATTTAGTAATTCTTTCATGTTAAACCACGGAACTAACTGAATAAGCCATAATTTCTAAGAACATCTAGCATATTTACATTTATTACTTATAGAAAAACTTTTATCCTCGTGCTTTACATCATAATGGTATGTTAATAATTATCGAATCTATTTTTGTGGGATTGTGTGTTCTGTTTTGAATTATAGTGTACCTGTCTAAGTCTAGGGTTTGGATTCATTTATTAGAAAATATAAACAATTCAGGAACTTTAAAATGTAAGAATTGTGACACCGAATTTAAATCTCATTTATCAACTACATCCTTAACGTACCACATGCAACACAAACACAACCTTCTTTTAGAGCCTGCTTCAGGAAGCTCATTAGTTGCACAAAGTAATTCTCAAAATATAGTTTGATCCTATTTTCAAAAACAAAATTCTTGTCCTGGGTTAATTCTAGCCAAGTTAACAGCTTTAGATAAAATACCGTTTTCAACTTTTTCTAAATTGAAAACTCAATCAAGTGAGACTAGTAAGAAATTCTACGAATCAGTAAGTAGGAGAATATTTGAACGTAGAATTATTAATGTAGAAGGTTTGTTAGAGTATTTAGATGATCCTAACACTTACCAAAAAGCACTTACACAAAAAAATGTAATATTACAACGATCAACAAGAAACAAAATTGCTCTAACAATTAAAGAAATTCTTCATCGTTTATTTCTCATTGATGAGAATGTTAATGAAAATAGATTAAATCGAGAAGATGAGGCTACATATGAATGTACTAAAAACATAAAAAAATAAGAATTGAATCGCATTTTGTGAATGAAAAACGCTAATCTTTCAACAGTAGTAAATTTTCAAAATAACGTTTTATCTATTAAAAAAGAAATGAGCATTTTTGAAAAAAATTAACAAAAGAAGTAGAAGTCATTTATTTGAACAAATGTACAATGCTTTGTTAACTATTCCACCATCGTTGGTCGAAGCTGAGAGATATTTTAGTGCGGCAGGACTTTTTCTAACTAAATTGAGGACTAAATTAAACGATGAAACGATTGATTCGTTATGTTTTCTTCGATCATATCTCTTACAGAAACAAAATGAAGATGAAATAACAAGTCTTATTTAAATTTACTTATATTGAAACTTCTGAAACATTTTTCACTAATATATTACGAATTAGTTTTAAAACTTATTATGTTATCAATAACTATAAACTTTAAAATTCTTTGCCTTTTTTAACCATTATAATATTATAACTAATCTTATTACTGTGGAATGTTTTATTACTTACAAAATTAATTTATATTAAAAAAATTCAAATAATAACATTTCATAAATTAATCGATTAATTGTTTTTTTTTAAACCGAATAATCGTTAATCGAAAATTTCCAAAACTTATTAATCACAACATCCTTAGTGCATATACTCTGATATTTAAAAGATTCATCGCCATATTAAACAGTTTGACGTTTAGGCACAGATAATTTGAAGCTTTTAGCTGATCAAAGACTAAATGAATATATTTTTTAGTGAAAATATCAGTAAATGGAAAAAGTTTCCAGACAAACAAATAGTTTGAGTGTTAAAAATTTGAGATTTAGTTTGTATATATTTTTTGTTTTAAAGTTTTAAAAGTTTAAAAATGTTGAAAAATTAAGATTTGGTTTGTATATAATATATTTGACAAGTATATCTTATATGATATTCAAAAACTATATGATATATGTTAAAGAGTGTTTCAGGATTCAAATAATGTTAAATTTTTGCAAATATACCACGGGACCTGCTTAGTTTTGGTGCACACATTTTCAGCTTTCAATTACACACAGAACAGAAACAATAACCAAAACCATTTTTTAAAGTGACAGATTTTTGTTGGTTCAAGGCGAAGTTTGAATAGCAACCCTGAGAATTAGGGTCGGCATTCGGCAATGACCTAACTGCCGACCTGAAAGTGTTTGAGGTCGGCAAAAAAACTGCCGACCTCGTTTCTATGTTTTATGGTCAGACCTTTATATCAAATAATTTTTGCCGACCTGATGCCGACCTAAAAAAGATCGAGGTCGGCAAATTATTGCCGACCTCATTTTCCCTAATTCTGAGGGTTCGAATAGTCATATCTTTGAAACCGTTTTGAATTAGAAGATAAAATTTTTTGGGGATGTTCATGTTAACTTATTAAAATCTTTGAGTGGTGTATTAATCGGCAAAATCTGAGACTCAGGGTTGCTTTTTATAAAAAAATGGATGCTTTCACATGGAATTGCCCTAATATATTATATATAACAGTGCATTGTAAAATAAAAAGATGCGCCAAAAAATCCTAACTAGTTTTTCAGAAGCCAGATTGAAACCTATTTTGGTTTTTTGAAAATCCATTATAAGCCGACTTCCCAAATATTGTGTTTAAAAAAAATTGAAAATGATTTCTTAAAAATATATATATTTATTTTGTTTACTCAGTATTTCAACACTACATTTTTTTGTTTTTTACATTTTTTTTCAGCTAATTTTAATATTTCTGCATTAAATTTATTGACTGGTTATTAATATTTATTTTTAAAAAATATACTTTTTACTTTAAATGTTGATGACAAGCCATTCTCATATAATTTTTCGAAACTGAAATATTAAAAAGCTTAAGGTCAACACTTTATTGAACAGTATAAATTTGTTTTGTTTTTTAAAATTATAACATATTAAACATTAAGTATAAAATCAATTAGATTTTCTAAAAACCAAAAATCATGCAACAGTTTTTAAAAAAAATAAAGGGTTTATCAAAAAACTAATATATTTTACTTTTACTGTGTGTTTTTAATTACAATATATATACACACAAGACATACATATATAAAAAGATTGCATAATAAACAATAAGCAGGAGAAACTGTGTAAGAAACAGTTCAGCTCTAATTCTTGTTTCATTCTTAAATTTTTAAAAATATTTATGATAGTCTTGTTAGTATATAAAAAAAACTTGCAATTTTTAATTTTATTCTTATATTGTTAAAAAAAAGTTAGGATAATCTAGTAGTATATAAAAAATGCTTACAATTTAGAATGTAGATCCGGCGAACTAAGTTTTATGTTAAAACCAAATTTTTAATAAATCAAAACTTCATATTAACTTTAAATTTTTATTAAATAAAAGTTTTATATTAAATAACAATCAATGCACTTACTCTTTTGTTAATAATAAAAAAATTAAAATAGTCTTGCTGATATTTTCATATATTTTAATAGGTTAAATCAGAAAATTGAAAAATTTTATGTTGAAATAATAATCTAATACCAGTTCAAACAAAGTTAAAACTTTGTAAATGTTATTTAAAGAAGATTTAAATGATAAAAATGTCTGCTGTTTCAAGAAGATTCTTTAATGTTTCTACAAAATAAATCAAAATAGTTAATAGTAAAAAAAGTTATTAATTAGTAATTATTAAGTTCCAAAACTAGTTAGTAGTCTGAAAATCTGGGAGTCATCTTTTTTTCACTTTTGAAAAATTCAATACTTTTATAAATGTCCACCATAAAAAAAAATCAAACCATTTTAAAATAAAAATTATAATCTTTTACTTAGTGTAAAAGCTTTTGTCTTTTAAAAAGAAGTCAATAAAAAAAAAAGTAAACAAAGTATAAGATGTACTTTTAATTTTATCCCATGATCCACTTGGTATCATTTTTTTAAAAAAAATACAAGGACTTACTTTTGTTTTGTAATCCCAGCCTGATATAACTCCTTTAAACCCAGACTTTTTATGAATTATAACCTGTCCAATTCGGTATTTAACATTAGCACGATCTGTTCGTGGCTCTGGTGATTCTGCAAAATAACCATTTGGTTCATTATATAGCATAACTTCTTTTGCAGGACATTCACCATTTTCCAAGTAAAAAAGCTTGTAATGCAATTGTGAAATAATGCTATTCCATTCAGAAACATTAGTGAGCTTTTTAAACAGATTAATACTATCACGAAGAAATCTAAATATCAATTTTTAAACTAAATCTCTATCTAATTTTATCACTAAAAACAAAATATATAAAATACTGATTTATTGGAAATATAAGATTATAGAAATTTAGGTAATTGAATTTAAATCTTTGTTTAACATTATACGCCAGTCATGAATCTAATAATAAAACAAGAGTTGCTATTTCAAAAAAAAAAGTTATGAGTTAAAAATAATAATGTTAAATTATGGAATGAAAAAAAAAAAAATTGTTTTATAATTAAAGGGTGAAATAAATACTCGATAGCTTTTTAGAAGGAAATGCTATAAGAACATACAATATGCAATTATAAATAAAGATAGCATTGACACCCCACAACCCACTGATTTCTAGTGTTTATATTGTTATTTTTGAACTAATTGTGTTACATATATATTTCAAGTCATGTATTCTTAGATAAGAATATTATTGCTGAATAAAGCTTTTATCAAGTGGTTTTTATTTTTATGAGTTTATCTCAATTTATTAAACATCAAAAAAAAGTAATGGAATATGTCAAAGAACTTAAATGTGACAAAACGCAATCTTAATTATAATGCACCAACTGTTTCAAAAGAGTAGAAACATTAGAAATAAACATTTTAAAATTACATCTGAAAAGAAATAAATGACCTGCGTACTTACATGTACAAATGCTATGTACAAGCTATGCTATGAACAAACAAAGTTCCTGTAAAATATGATGACTTCAAATTAAAACAATAAAACTAAAATGTTGTCTTTTCTATATAGATGTGAAGATTGTTAAGATTTATGTTTTTATATTGTTGTTTTTGAATTATTTGGTTTGTACATACTTCAACTCTAGTATTTTTAGATTGATATACTATTATTCAATAAATCCTAAATCAAGAGGTCTTCATTTTTATGAGTTGATGTTATATTCTCCATTAGGTTGCACATTGTCTAAACTATTATTAATTAATGTAATTTTATTGGTAACTTTGTGCAATTTTATTTTTAACTACTGCAATTGTGACAAGTTCTTTACTTTTCATCTATTTCTGTACACTTTTGCTTTGAGGAGAGCCTTATATAGCCCAGTCAGAGAAAGTTAGGGAATGTTCATAAGGCTGAATGGAGATAGCTAACCACTAATTAATTGATAAGCTTACCACTAAATAGCAAAGTTTGTCTTGTGTTTGTACCACTAAATAGCAAAGTTTGTCTTGTGTTTAGTGTGCATAGTGTGTTGTAGCCAAATCAGACCAAAACAAATTATATTCACCATAGAGTGTGGTCAGTAAATATGGGACTAAATGATTCTTAATATACTCTTTATGTATATTTTAGCATTAACTGACCCTCCTGAGGGTTGAAAATAGGGACAGGATATACTAAACTTATTAATGACCACACCAACAATTGCTGTTAAAATTTCTTCAAGATTTTTTGATTTTTTATGTAGCAAAAATGATAAAAGGTATGACTTTAACATAACTTTTTATGCAGACAAAAATCACTACTGGTTGTAATAGATGACATAACAATACATACAAGATCCATTTAGAGAGAATTAGCTCTCATCAACTATAACAATCATTAGTGATTTTTTTCTACATGATTTTATCATAACTTTTACAATTTATGCTACATAAAAAGTTATAATAAAGTCATAATTTTTATCATTTTTGCTACTTAAAAAGTTATGATAAAGTCAAAGACATATAAGTTTTTCCTTTAAAGCTTTCAATCCTGCTTCATTGATAAGTAATTGTGGTTTACTGTTACATTCATGTTTTTTGTCAATTAACAGCTGTCATATGTTAGTACCTTTTTCTGAAATTTTAGCATTTGTTTAAATTGGTTTTTTATCTGAACTTCACTAAGATTTTTTTATAATTTTACAGATACTGCTTTGACACCTGTTTTATGGTATATATATATATATATATATATATATATATATATATATATATATATATATATATATATATATATATATATATATATACATATATATATATATATATATATATATATATATATATATATATATATATATATATATATATATATATATATATATATATATATATATATATATATATATTAAATTAAGATAAAAACTTTAACACCTCCGAAATATTTTTTCTTTATATCTAACTATTTATTGTGAATAAAATAACTGTTTATTAAAAACAACCACGTTTGAAAAGCTTTTTTATGCTAACCTATTCTACATTCTGGTACGGAATTTAATGTAACACACCTACTAGTCAGGTACTGACGTTCATACTCTTGTTGCGGAGTCATCCATTTTGATATCAAATATTGTGTAGGTACAGCTAAAAAAAGAATAACTAGCTGAAGCCCAGGACGAAGCATTTACTCAAATCAAAAAAAATTCAATACCCACTTGGGCAAAGTCCTAGTTTTTATAGTACATTTACGTAACGTTAATTTAGCAATTAAAATAGCAAACTAAGTCGCTTTAGATGTTTACGTCTAATGATAATTTTGCGTTTTTACATTGGCTATTTTTTATATCTCGGCAGTACTTTAGGTATTTCGGCATTTCTCGTTTTACTAAGGACCAAAACGCCGGCGCCGGAGACCACGAGAAGAAGCTCCGTTCGGAGCCATTATTTCTATTTTATATAATTTTTTTTTTTTTTTTTTTTTTTTTTATAAGTTGATTAAGGTGCCCCAAGAAGTCCTTACGGTCTATTCACAGAGCACCGCGGAAGAGCATTTAATCGGAAGTTCAGGTCAATTAGGAAGCAATCTATGACTGACTTTATTTGTAAAAGTTTCAAACTTCTATGATCATTCTAAGCTTCTATTATTTCCATTCTCACTATATATAGCTTCTTTCAAAGGAAAGTAGTAATTTCAATGTTCAAATCGAGGAAGGGTTGGAGAACCGAGTGGAGTATGCTGATATATTTAATACAATATTAAGTTATCTACAATATTATTGCCTGACAGCTTTTTTAACTTTGCAAACGGAAAAAGAATATTGCTTAAAGTAATAATAATCTTTTACGTTGTTTTTGATGAAACTTTGTTTAGCTATGATTTTTTTTTTTTTTTTTTATTAAATGTTTTATTAACTATATGTTTTTTTTTTTTAGAAAGCATTATGCAGATTTTAAGGATTCGCCGCTCCCCCCCCCCCCACCCCACCACACTTTCTTACTTTCATTTTATTCCTAGAATTTCCCCCTATATATATAAATAGGGGGAAATTATTTCCTCACAGCAAACCCAATGAAATTTTATTTTTATACACCACGGTTTATAATAAATTAAAATATTTCTCTTCAGGCTATATAATATCATTATTTCATTTTCGAGAGAAAACTGTTTCAAAAAAAGTTGATAAAAAAAGTTCAATAAAAATAAAATGGATGAAAAGACAAATCAGGAGAATTTTAATATTAAAAAATATAAAAGGTACTTTATTTGTCGAACAAAAAAAGATGGTGTCTCTAATTTGTAAGTTAGTGCAAAAATCCATTAAAAATTTAAAACATTATTTTGAAAGAAAGCATATTGGTACCTAAAAAACTGTGGAAAACGAAGACAAAGGAGTACCTTTAAAATCATTTTTGATGTTAACGATACTCCGATATTTGATCTATTAATATTTAACAGATTAAGATATAGAAGACTATGACTGACTTTATTTGTAAAAATTTTATTTAAGTAAAAAAAATGTCTTGTCAAATGCCAAATCAGTTGCGACTGTTAATGCCTCCAATATAACATTAATTATCTTAGAGGTAATAGATAAATTTATTTAGGCCTTCCTAAAGAGAATAGTGATGTAAGACTGAGGAAGATATTTCTCAGAATAACGCTTCTAAAAATTCAAGTAAGATGTTTTTGATTTAGAATTCAATAAAACTGTAGATTTTTCCCCTATAGAGCACACGAGATGTTCTGTTCATACATTACACATAACTATTTGTGATTATATAAAAGACAAGCATGTCAATTCTTTAATGAGTAAAATTTGTCAAATAGTGAAAAATACAAGATTTATTTTACTTGGTGAATAATTTACCAAGTAAAATTAAGTCACTAAATAGAGCAATGTTCACTTAAGTTAAAAACCTTTGTCCACTCCTGATCTAATGTTGCAACTTTAGGCCGATATACAACATTTATAGTTGAGATTCAGTATACAGCTATTGTTGAAATTCAGTATACAATATTAGCCCAATGTTACAAACAATATTGGGCCAAGTTGTATACAAGGTTAGACCAATGTTGCATACAATATTGGGTCAATGTTGTACACAACGTTGGGTCAATGCCTATCCAATGATCAAACCTGCATTGGGCCAACATCGAATTTCAACGTTGCGCCAATGTATAAACATGTATTGGTCCAATGTTGGTCTAATGTAAGCTTGCTAGCTGGGTTAATATTCCAAAGAAGATAGGTGAATTCTGTTGAGCATTGAATAATCATTTAAGGATATTTTTTTCCAGATTTTTTCAATAAAAGAAATATGATGGTTTATATTGCCACATACCAAGATACGCAAAAACCCTCTGCAACAAGAGTAAGTAAGTTTGAGAAAGAACAGAAGTAAATAAGCGTAAAGGTCAGAATTAGTCGAGTTAAATAGCATAAGACAAGATTAAAGAGTCTTGTTTTTTAAAAGGAATGACCTTTGTAAACTTATTTTGTGAGTTCAAAAATATATACAAAGGTTTAGAAGGATGCAATAAATCATCCTTAGATACTACCAATAAATATTTATTTAATTTTGAGTAAAGACATTGTTAGAATTAAACTCTAAATTTTTAGTTATAGGCATTCAAAACTTGTTTTACAAAAGAAACGATACGTTACTTCAGTGACACAAATTTCAATGGTTATAACAAAAAAAAATAATACTCCATATACAATATCTTTACCTGAACCTAAATAGGTGTTTATAGATGGCAAGTAAGGTATAATGGGCTCCATTTTATTGTTTTTAGTTTTTCTTTAATTTAAAATTTAGTTTAAAAAGGTCATTCCTTTTGTAAAAACTGACTTTTAAATCCTACCCCATATTAAAAACGGCAGACATTGCACTATATTTAAGAATGTGCAATTAGAATAAAAATATTACATATTATAAACTTCTTCTTCTTTTTTTGTTATTAAGATGCTCCAAGAAGACCTAACGGTCTTCCCACAGAGCACCGCGGAAGTGCATTTTACCGTGAGCTGAAAATATGTCCAGAGCTCGTTTCGAACCTTGATCTCCTGCTTATAAAGCAAGCACTGTAACCACTATACTACAGCCGCACGACGCATAAATATAGTAATATTTGTTTTACGCACAACCACATAAATATTGTAATACTTTTGGTATCGTGATTTATCCTCCTCTGGCTAATTGTTATATAGAGGTTACATACCAAGGCCTGAAAAGACGAGTTTAGCTCACTAAAGGGCATCATAACCCGCTTCAACGGATCAAGAGTAAGTGAGTTAAAGAAGAATGAAGAATATTGGAGTAAAATATAGAAATTATAAAGAGAGTGTTGTCATTAATGGGTTGAGTCAAGTTAGAAAGAAATAAAGATAGCGGAAAAATATTGTACTGGATATTAGAATGTACAATTATACAGTGAAATTACAGTAATATTTTTGGGTATTGGTGTTTATCTTCCGCCGGCTAATTGCCATATAGAGGCCTCATACCCGGGCTTGCGAAGACAAGTTCAGCTCACTAAAAAGCATCATAACCCAATTCGCAGACCAAGAGTAAGTGACTTTAGAAGAACGAAAGATAATTGAGTAATAGTCGGAAGAAGTCGACTTGAAAAAATAGATATTGCACTTGATGTTAGAAGTCCAATCTTTTTTCAATAAAATTAATTTTGACATTATTGAAATTTATAGATCTATATTATCTCTCTCTCTCTCTCTCTCTCTTTCTCTCTCTCTCTCTCTCTCTCTCTCTCTCTCTCTATATATATATATATATATATATATATATATATATATATATATATATATATATATATATATATATATATATATATATATATATATATATATATATATATATATATATATATATATATATATGTATATATATTTATATATATATATATATATATATATATATATATATATATATATATATATATATATATATATATATATATATATATATATATAAATTATAGATCTATAGTAACATTTTTGGTATTGTGATTTATCCTCCTTCGGCTAATTGTAATATAGAGGCCACATTACCAAGGCCCGCAAAGACAAGTTCAGCTCCCCAAGGAGCGTTATAACCCGTTCTACGGACCAAGAGTAAAGTGATTTTTGGAAGAACGAAAATATGTTAGAGTAAAAGACAAAAGTAGTCGAGTTAAAAAAGATAGCATAGAGAAAGCGGACAGGGTTGCACATGATGTTAGAAGGTGCAATGCGTACAGTTAATTAGGTCTCCTAATTAATGTACGCCGACAAAGACTTGATTGAAGTTTACTTGAATGACTTTTTCCTCAATTTTCTTTGTCGATCTGTAGTAATATTTTTGGTATTGTAGTTTATCCTTTTCCGGCTAGTTGCCATATAGAGGTCACATTACCAAGGCCCGCAAAAACAAGCTCCGCTCCCCAAGAAGCGTCATAACCCGCTCTACGGACCAAGAGTAAAGTGATTTTGGGAAGAACGAAGATATGTTAGAGTGAAAGATAGAAGTAGTTGAGTTATTATTTTTTTTTGTATAGCAATGCCTTAGAGTAATACTTTTTATTATTTTACTATTACTTTTTATTAATAATATTATTTCTATTATGTTTGTTATTGTGGTTACAATTATTTATTTTTATTATTATTAATATTTTTATTATGATTGTTATTATTACTATTATAACTATTTCAGTTATGTAATTTTTAATTGTTTGTTTACTTTAAATTAGTGTTTGTACTATATGTAAATATCCATGATTTGTACAAACTATTTTCAAATAAAAAAAGATTTAAATATCGGCGATTTGTACCAACTTAAATTGTCAAAAATTTGCGACTGATTTTACTCAAAAAGAAATCAATTTCTGAAAAGTTAAAAAATCCTAACTTTTTAGAGATTGGAGTATTTTTGTATTTATTCTTTGATATTATTTCACATTGAGTGTAGCAAGTAGAGCGTTGAAATGAATTAGATATAAGGCGGTTACGGGAATTATTTACAACATTTTCAGTCGATAAAAGACGACCTAATATATTATAAGATTTTCAAAATGTCATTTCGTTGTACCAGTTTATTACAAAATAATGCTTGAATTAATCTTGCTTGCGCAGCGAAAAATAAAAAGAATGAATGAAAACAATAAAACTTTAATTTACTTTTAAGCAACTTTGCAAAAAAAATATTCTGATACTTCGTCATTGTTTATAAAAATCTACATCACGTTAACTTTTGCAGTATTTAGGACTGTCACTTTAACGCTTTGATAATGCTACTGTTTACAAAATACTACAACACGAAATACGTTTCTTGTAGTATTCTTGACAGTAAACATCATTTTCATTGCCGTAAATCCAGTATTTTAAGTCTTTTCTTCTCCATACTGAATGTACTTCGTAAACTGGAATCTCATAAACAAAATGGCGCTTTGTAATAAAATAAAAAAAAAGTAAGTAATAAAAGCAATCATTTGTATAAAATTATTTAGAGGTTTAAAAGTTTACCTGTTTTATAATGCGGGCATATGAGAGCAACTTTAAATGATTTTCTATTGTTTTTTGAGACATAGTTCGAACTGTATCAACAGGAAAATCAACCAGGGGGTAAACCCGATCACTTTGTTCTTGAAAGATTATTACGCCAGAAACTTTGTTAATACATTTTGAAGGCAATTCCAAATTATCAATAATTTTTTGTGACTTTAGCGTTTTCCTAAAAAAAAAGTAGTGTAAAACGCAGAATGATTTTAAATTTAAAAAGTTATGATAATAAAACAGTAAAAAAAAAAGCTACACAAAAGTGTAAATGAACACAAAAAAAAAAAAAAGAATTTGACTTTCATAAATGAAGATATTATTAAAAAGACTTGCTTACCATTTCACCGTAAGCCTAAGGTACATTTTAACTTTTCCCTTTCCACGACATAGTTTACAAGAGGCTCGTCCGCTGCTAGAACAATCAGTACAATTGACTTTACCACCATTGCAAAAATGACAGTGTCGGTAATCTGATGTTAATGACAATGCTTTTTCTGTACTGCGATTATCAGTGTGGTAAGAATGATGAAACAAACCAAATCCATCACATACAACACAATTCATCTGTATATACGTATAAATTGGTTAAATTTAACTAAAACTATATAAAAAAATCTATTTGAAGCGACAAAAAAACTAGGAACATTTTTGGATCTATATATTTATATAATAAATTCTATTCTATGTTAATTTAATGTCAGTATTCTTATATGAAGTAAATTTAAATATGTGTGATTATGGCTAAATACAGTAGAAAGAACACTTATAAAAATCATAATAATTTGTCAATCATTATTAATTACTAAAAAATATTTGCAGAATATTTGTGCTGAATTTCAAGCTTAAAAGTATCAATGTTTATTGTCATTTTTTGTCACTATTTTATAGTCACTTTTATTATTTTTTTAATTTTATTGTCACTATTTTATAAAAATACCATTTTCACTTTTCACTTATAAAATATTTTTTTACAAAATTTCTAAATTTGAACATGCGTACCATTATGGCTAGCTTTAAAAAGATAAAATATTTTTTTATAAATTTAGCTAGCTAGTCAAAAATCAGAGACATCTATTAGACATTTTTTTAGTGTTTCAGACGTCTTGATACAACTAAGATAAAATTGAGACATCTAAAAGTCGCCGCAAAGACGATCACATATTGATGTCTTTTTTCGGGCATCTGTTCAACTCAGTTGGGACGACTTATTTTTATGCAATTTTTTGGAACTTACGAGATAAAAATTTTTCAGATATCTGTTAGACATAGATGAGACGTCTGATTTATATGCCAATCCTTGAGACATTTGAAATAAAACTGAGAGATCTTAAAGACACTTTAAAGACAATCTCTTTTATACATTTTTTACTTAGAGTTTTATCAAAATTTATACCAAGAGGTCACATAAACGATATATAGAAGGAGGCATGAACTTCTTAGTTAAATGCTCTTATGCAGTGCTCTGTAGTATGACCGTAAGGACTTCTTGGAGCACATTAAATATCAAACGAAAAAAAAAAAGATAAAAATCATTTAGGAAAGTAAAGCCACAAGCAAAAAATTTAGAAATTAAGTATAAATAGAAATCGGCTGTTAGGTTTTGAAATCAAACGTTGTTTAAAAATGGTGTAAACCTGCGACTGCTATATTTAATATGGTCTATTATAATTTCAATTACATAGAAATATGATTGCAACCGTTTTACAGCATAGCGGCCGTCTAACTGATCAATTATCTGAGATATCTTAGAGAAATCCAACTTTAGACGTCTAAAAGATGTTTCAGACATCTAAAAATGCTAAATGCCGTTAAGACGTCAACCTCAAACGTTGTTGAGATGTCTAAAAGACGTCTTTGTGCCCAATTGGAAGGAGAATGTAAACCTTAAATAATAATTCTGCTATAGTTATTTTTAAAATAAAAGTCCAATAAGAGTAATTAGATCTGCAAAACAAGTTAACGCCAGAAAAGGCATTTGGCTGCAAAAAAAAAACAACTTTAAATCAGCCTTAATGTTTTTTTTTTATTAATAGAAACGGCATTGTGGAAGTCTGTCCAATCCACACTAGTTGAAACCACTATTAGAAACTTTAGACATCAAGGTAAAAAAAAAAAAATTAAAAAATTAGAGCAAAACAAAGGTAAAAATGTGGAACTGGTAGAGAAATACGTAATACATATTAGAAGTAGAAAAAAAAAAAAATAAAAGATAAGAACTTACAAGAGAAAAAAATAAATAGACAACTTTATATCATAATTGTATTATGTGCTTTAAATTTCAATAAGCATTTTATATTTTTTTACTATTATTTCAAAAATACAAGTGCTGATGATGACTTTTATAAAAATACAAGCGTTGAAAACGACTTTTATAAATTGCATGGTTTATCTTTTTACATAATTTAAAACATACTGAAAATACTTTTTCCACTTTCATTAAACGTAATATCTCTATAAGATTTTACTTAATGTTTGCACAAGTACTTTTATTTTAAAAATAATTGCTGTTAAAGTTGACAATACAAAACTTTGAATACGTATTCAGGATTTTTTTGTTTCCTTATTTTTTTATATTGAATGCATTAGTTCTGTTGCCTATTCACTGAACAATTTAGTACTATACACAATGAACTGTCACATATACTGTCACATATACTGTACAAAAGTACTATACACAACAAACTGTCACATATACTGTCACATAAGTACTAAACACAACAAACTGTCACATAAGTACTATACACAACAAACTGCCACATAAACTGTCACATAAGTACTATACACGACAAACTGTCACATATACTGTCACATAAGTACTATACACAACAAACAGTCACATATACTTTTACATAAGTACTATACACAACGAACTGTCACATATACTGTCACATAAGTACTATAAACAACGAATTGTCACATATACTGTCACATAAGTATTATACACGACGAACACATCGTTTAATGGCTTCTCGAACATGATAAAAAAACACTATATGCTTTAGAAGGCGCAGTGACTGGCATGAAGAGATGTTATTGTTTAAACTCTTGAACTTTTTGCATATATTTGTCTAGATACTTGCAAGAGTATCTAATACTTATACTTAAAATTTTTCTAAATCATGAAATTGCAATGCCTCTGAAGAGCTTAAATTTTTTAATCGCTTTTAGCTTGAAATGCGTCGTACTTTTTTATTTTTTGAAGTCTGTCGACATTCTTTATCACGTTACTTCAATCATTTTTTGCAAATCACCGTATGAAAACTGCAACTAAATATTTAACTTTGCAAGTCAATGCCTTCCATGTGACTAAAATTATACATATTATACAACCCGCAAAAGATAATACACTCCTTTAGAAGTATTGAATCCAAAACAAGTTCAGAAATGTCCGTTACAGATGTGCAAATGCAAATTATTTTTTAACTCAAGACTAAGTCAAGGCAGCAAAGGTTTGCCTCGCTTTCTTTTTTAATAAACCACTTTTAGTTAATGACGTTAAAACTCACGTACAACAAACTTTCAGAATTTCAGAAAATTCTCCACATCCAAATGTCAGATGGGCCTCCTCCAAGGTAAATGCTCTGGGAATGTCATTCTGTAGATTGTAATCTACAATTGCGTCAGAGTTTAGTCAGTTAAGTTGTTATTGTTTGTCTTTAATTGGATACTTTACATGAAGCCTTTATTTTTAGGGATGTACCGAAGCTTCGGCTTCGGTTTGCCGAAGCTTCGGTTCGGCCGAAGCCATGCGCTTTTTTTGCCGAATCATTGGCTTCGGCAAAATATTTTTAAGTTTTTAAGCATTAAACTTTTTTAAGATTTTAAGCTATAGGTTAGAATCTTTAAATACTTTAAAATATTTTTTGGTATGTTACAGTATACTTGGACATTACTAAGCTGGCATTTGACTGAGAAAGACATTTTTTAAACGTTCAAACGATGTCTGTTTTTTGAATAAAAAAGTAGTTGAAAGTTCAAAGCACTTTTTTTTCTTTAAAGGGTAATATTTTAAAAATTTAAACTTAAAATTATCACCTATATTTTATGTATCAGCACCGAGGAAGTTAACTTCTACTTGAGCCTTCCAATACTGCCAAAGGTGCATACCGTTACACTTGCTCTGATAAAGATACTTACAAGTTGAATTTGTCAAATTTTTCAAAGAAAGTTTTGTGCGCGCCTCCTTCATCTGTAAAAAGTGAACGCTTATTTAGCACATCTGGAAACATATTTGAAGCAAAATGAAACAGACTATTACACGAACATGGAGAACAGATTGCATTTTTAAATTATAATATGCCTACTTTCATTGAATAAATTATTATTAACTAAATAATAGACTGTAGCTTCTAAGTTCAACTGATTCAACTTTTTAACAAAATTTAAAACAAATACCAAATTTTATGTTCAAATTAAAATAATGACTACTTTTATATTTTTACATTTCACGCGTTTACATTTTTATGAATTCTTTCAAAGAATTGACCGTAGATTACCAGTAAATGTCTAAGATTTAATGATGTAATCTTTCCTATACCTGCTAGATATCAGTGGCGGATCTACAGTACTGCAGATTAGGCGGCCGCCTAAGGAGAAATATTATATTATAAATAAGGTGTATCTTACTTTACATTTTTTTAAAGTCAAAATTTCATTAGGATTTTTTTCTCGGTTTCGGATTTGAAACCGCAAAAATAAGCGAGAGTGTTAAATATAATGATTGGCGAAAAGGCTTTATTATGCATTAGGCGAAAAAATTTTTGCCTAATCTAAGGCAATCTGGAAAATCGGAAATTTAGCCCAATTTAGTAAAAATTTGGCCGGTTGGTTTTTATGCCTAAGGCCGCCTGATCTGAGGCGATCTGATCAGGAAATTAAGAAAACTAGGCATATTTCCCTAAAACTTGGCCGATTGGGTTAAGTTTAGGCATAAAAAGTCTGGAAATTAAAAAAATTTAAACAATTTGCTTGAAATTTGGCCGATTGGGATATAGTTTACGCATTAAATGTCTGGAAAATAATACACTTAGCATTTCATTTTTTTTCTAATTTAAGATGTCAAAGATTTTTGATAATGTGCGAATTGCATTAGAGAGAAGCGATAAAGTTACATTCGAAAAGATTAACAAGAAGTATTTCCTCCAAGTTGATTCTTTATGTTTTTTGCATCCATTAATTAATCAAGTTCATCTTAAGCGAAATATTTGCGCTGAAGCCTACTTAAACAAAAATGCAAAATCGGATAAATTAATACCTATTCTGTAAGTTACTATTTGTTTATACTGTTTTATTTACATTAAGTTATTTAACCAGAGGTTTTCATCAGATTATAATCAGTATTAAATTATTCATATTTTGCTAGCAAATCACAAGTTAATCTTACAGATTAACTTGTAAAATAATGTTTCAGTGCGAACTATATATCAAATGCAAAAACTAGTTAGTGGTTTTAGCTATGGATTTATTTACAAAAATTGTAAAGTTAAATAACAAGGCTTTATACACCCATTGTTTTAGTCATCGATTAAATCTAGCAGTGTGTAATTCTTGCAAAGTTCAACTTCTCTGTAATGCAATGAACCATGTAAAAGAGGTTTTCTATTATTTTAATCTTTCTATCAAAAGAAGTTCTGTCTTGGAGACAATGATTTTAGAACACTATCCTGATAAAAAGGGAAAAAAAACTTGAATATATAGTTGAATAAGGTGGCTTGAAAGAATAGATGGTTTGGATACATTTCAGCAGTTGTATATTCCAATAGTTTATTCCCTTAGCTATAAGCAATGACATAAATAAGTTTGGGGCAGACTCCTAAAGAGCTATATCTTTATTGAAATTGGTCACTACCTTTGAATTTATTATTTCCTTGGTTGTGGCTAGAGCTGTTTTTGATGAAGCGCATATAGTGACTAAGATTGGAGGGAGAGCTTCAAGATTTTTTCTGATTTTTATTCTGAAGATTTGTCAAATCCATTAGCTTTAGATGCAGAGTGTGGTCTTTAGGAGGTATACTGGACTACCACTAATTATACCATTCCAAATGTTTGATACTATAAAGTCAATTTTATGTATAAAAACTTTTACCAATATTTTTGTTTGTTTGCAGTTATTAGCAACTTCACCTGTGACATCGTGTTCTTATGAATAATCTTTTTCAAATCTTTGCAGATTAAAAACCTGGTCAAGATCAACTATGTCTGGATATTGTTTGGTTTAACATTGATGTATACACATAGAGATATAGTTCCAGATAATTAAGAAGTTATCAAAAAGTTAATGCAAAGAAATGGTTATGTCTCTATACAAATAAGTCAAAGTCTTTGTGACTAGGTTTATTTGTAAATATTTATACACATTTAATAGTTTAAAGACTGTTGACTTAAGCATATAAATCACTTAAAATCTCTGTGAATATGACTTCGTTTTGTCTACTATAATCACTATAATCTATAATCACAAGTTAAATCTTTTATGAGAACTTAAAGTGATTCAGAGTTTGAATACATTTTAAATTGTTATTAATTATTTAGGATGTTTAAATATTCAAACATCTTTATAAACATTGTAGTAAAATCAAATAATTTTGAATTATTTGAATGAATGCAATACACTTTTAGTGTGAATCTAATTACCACTAAAAGTGTATTGCATTCATTTGTATGTAGGACAAAAACATATATTTTATTTTCTAAAAATACATTTGGACATAAATATATTTTTTAACCTTAAAATCCAAAGTTAGTGAGAATAAAGATTAAAACATTTAAATATTTTAGTAAATAAAGAGTTATGGAAAACCTTTCTGGTTGAATCCAAAATTAGTGAAAATAAAAATTAAAACATTTAAATATTTTTGTAGATAAAGAGTAATGGAAAACCTTTCTGGTTGAAACAGTTCAGTACAATATATTATTTATCCTAATTTTTATTTTATTAAATTAGCAGTTCACTTTCTGTGGGAACTTTTGTTTAAAAAAAAATTGTTATATTGTTAAAATTGTTATATTGTTAAAATTGTTATATTGTTAAAATTGTTATACTGTTACAATTATTATATTGTTATTATTAGTATTATTAGTATTATTGTTCAAGGAACTCTCCTGAACAATATTACTAAATAACTTGCACATTTTTATTTTTTAGGAAAAGCAGTTTGCTAATTGATTGTGTATTTTTCTGTCATACACCTTCAGTCGTTCTGCATAAAAAAATCGTACACATGAATAGGAAGGAACCTTGACGTGGTTCATGTGCTTTAAACAAATACCTTCCAGACAGATACATTCTCAACCGTTGTACTGTGAGGGATAAATGGTCAGAAATTTGATTTCTTTAGATTTTTTTTTTGTCTGAATTTAGTTATTACTCAATAAATCAAACCTTTTAAAATGTATTAATAAAATCATAGTTAATCTAATTTTTTTTTTCAACGGTTTGTATTCTTCGAATTGGCTAATAAAAAGTTAGCAAATCAATAAAAAGGGCTGCTGCTAGTAGCCGATACAGATTGTGAAATATTTGGCTGATTAAGCCGATGCAGATTAATCTGAACATCACCAAGAATATTCAGATTAGTTTTGAATTTCCAAATTCCTTTTTTTATTTTTAGTTGACATTGAGTGCATTGTAGGTATCAAGAATAGTATAGGTATAATTTTTTATTAAATTTTGCATATGTTTCATGTAAAAGAAAATAATAACCAGAATCTAGTTTATATTTATAAAAAAAAAATCCAAAACAATAGTTTGGGAGGGAGAGATTTTCTTAAGTTAATTTTTGCTTGAATTTCAGACTTATATTGTCTTAACCAGTTTAGCATTAAAACTTTTTTTTTTTTTGAAATTGCGTGCTTATTTTTATAAAAGGCTGCAATCACCAAGTCTTAATCACAAAAAAAAAAGTTTCAAAATGCGCAAATGGGGTGAATCCATAGGAGGAGATATTGGGAGAAGCCATAGCGGGAGCCCCCCTTGTATCAAATAAGAACCTTTTGAAAATATAAATCCGAGTTAGTATGGAGTTCACAAATAGTAAATGGGGAAGGGAGGCTTATTTAGTATCTGAGAGTACCACTGTCTGGAATGGATTGTGTTATAGCAATCGTGGCTCAGTAGTTAGAGAATTGGATTCGTAATCTAAGGGTTGCGAGTTCGATCCCTACTCGAAGCACATAAAGGTTATCGGTAAGGTTGGAAACGGAGAGCCAACTTATAAATGCTATTGTCTTGGTGGCGGTGCTCTGTGACAAGACCATTAGGACTTCTTAAAGCACCTTAATAACAAAACGAAAAAAAAAAAGGGGGGGGGGCGATAATATTAAAAAAAAATCGCCAAAGGAAAAATAAATCCTAGATCCGCCCCTGGATATATAGAGTTAAGACTCTAAATTTCACTCTCTAAATTATTGTACAAAGTTTGTTTAAATTTTTTATAATATTGGTTTTGTTTTATAGTTTTCTTAAAATGAGCTTGTACGCCAAAACATACAAACCTAAAACATTGATATATAACTTTAAAAGCAGCTTGATTATTCAAATCACCGTGGTGAAGTAAATTAAGCTTTAAATTACGTATAACTTAAGCCAAAGCTTCGGCTTCGGCAAAGTGGCTTTGGGGAAATTGCAGCTTCGGTACATTCTATTTATTTTCCAATCTTGAAAATTTCAGAGTATCTATTAGATTTTCCCAAGTTTGCGTACTCTCGAGTCCTTAATACAAGGGGGAAAAAGGGGTAGGAAAAAATGGAGGGTGGGGGATTTGGAATTTTAGCCAAGATTTAATAAACGAGTGGTTTTTTTATTAAAGGGAGAGGGGTGGGAACTTTTTCATGTTACAATATAAGTATTTTTTTATAAAAAATACTTATATTGTAAAACGCATAAAGCTATTTAATTCTTGCGTGGCTTGCGGTTAAATGCGCATTTTTAATTAATAAATGTCCTTCCCTCTTGTATTGAGGACTCAAGATGACTCTTTCAATAACAATAATAGTGCATTTTTATTTACATTTTTGTAAAAATAGAAGATCCACAGTTTTGCGACAACCTTTGTGTTTTTCACCTTTTATGCATTATTATGCAATCAAAAATGTTTTCTTGAGAAAAATAAGAGTTTTTAAGACAAAGTAGTTGTGAGTTATTTTTTCATTACTTTCTAAAAGCGTTTATTTTATCTTGTTCTTATTGTACTTTTCAATTTTTTTGACGTCATCTAGGAAGTTTGGTGTTGTCAAGTGATTAACTTACGGAAAAGGTGTGCCTATTATCATATATTATCTCTCTATGGCTTTTTCTCTAAATTGGTGGGTCTCGATTCTAGGAGTGTTATGTCAGCTGGAGATAAACCTAAATCAAACTCGTTCTCACAAGAAACAAGACGGATTAATATTAAAATTGTATATATTGGGGTAAGTTGGCCCAGGGGTATAAATTGGGGGCAAAATTAACTTTTACTAACTGCTATTTTTTTATGATTTTAATTAAAAATTGAAAGTGGGTCTTAGTTCCCTTCAAATATTAAAAAGAAAGTTTTTATTTAATTCTTATTACTCACCCCAACTTTGTTTTTTATTTTCAAAACATTTCAAAACACAAAGTATTAATCGGAAATTAAATAAACAATTTAACAAACAAAAAAACTTTTTTAGGATCGGTTTTAACTTATGGCCAACGTGTCCCGCTTGCATTGGATCAACCTACCCCTTCGTAATATTTAGAGTATAACTGATTTTGTTCTTAAACCATTAACCATATTGTTTAATATTATATACTAAAATAATCCTCTAACTATAAGCTTTATACTTAGAGCTTGGATTATGCAATACTGTTATGCAATCATCAGTGAACTTATTAACTTCAAACAATCTGTTCAAAATTTACTCTGATGAATCAAAAATCGTTAAAACGGCCCCACATTTCTAACAATCATCCAATAAACATGATTTTTTTTTGAAAGAGGGAAAAATTAATACAAACCTTCACCTAGATTCCCAGCTAGCTAAGACGCTTAGTCTTTGAATTAAATTGACTGGGACAACCTATCCCTTTGGACAAATTACCCTGGTCTACCCTATTCACTTATAAAAAAGAAAATTGAGCAGCATGAGTTCGCTAATGTTGATATTGCTCTCCGTGCTTATCTTGCGCTGATGATAACAAACTATTTGGTAGAAAGATCATTTCGAAAAATAAAATTGATCAAAAATAGGTTGCGTACCTCAAGAAAGTACCTCAATGCTTCAAGAACGGCTAACTAATCTGGTTCATTGAAGTACTGAAAATTACATCATGATGGAAATAAACTTTTATAATATCATAAATGATTTTTTAAACCGAAAAGCAAAGAAAGCACATTTTTGATTTAATCCTGGTATCAGACAAACCGATATTATTCCTATAGAAAATGTAACACTATTGTATCACTAAAAAGTTTGCTTTGGAATTGTCGTAAATCCGTTTACGGGCCGTGGCTAACAAGATGCAGCAAGAAAAATTTACGTTTTTGCGATAATTCCAATGGTTACATATTATAGAATTATAATACATCTAAAAAAATGCAATCCTAAACAAAAAATATATTAAATTAGACGTCCAACCCAAAACGTCCGAACAGCACACAAAAAAATAATTATTTAAATATAGCTGCTGATCTTCACAAAACAAAAGAAATTATTAGAAATTGAGTTTTGAGTATTAGTTTTTAAATGTTTGAATGAAAATATTGTAATTTTGTACTGAAATTTTAAAAACTATTTTACTGTATAAAAGCACTGAAATTACACACAGAATAACAACCCTTTTATTGTTTAGCCATAAGTAAATCTTAAGCGCGTAAAAAAACTATTTTTTATCGAGGCGCCGTTTTTTATTAGATGTTAACAATAAAAGTAAAGAATGCAAAGAATCTAACTTTGTTCAAATTCATTATAAAATATTTATCATATCAAAGTAATAAATAATGTAAGTATTATTTTTTATACTTTTATTTTAACTTTATCCAGGACACATATTGATAACAGTATTTATTACTAAAATGTATACCCTGTTAAAATATTTATTTAATAAATAATTGTTATTCCATTTGTTTCAATGATATCAACAACATTTTTGCGTCCATAGGACGGACGTCGTAAGGACGCGAGACGTTTGTTGGACGTCGTGGGAACGTTTTACGAACGTCTGTACCTGCTGCGTAATAATAATTAACAAAAATATGTTTGACATAAATGATGTTCAAGCATATCGAGAGCACAGCATAAACCAAAAGTTGTATTTAATCCCGTTTTATCATAAGTAGCATCAAAATATATTTGTCCTATTAGTAATAAAAACCTCATTAACATTCATGTTATCTCACTGTTTTGATAGCATTATATTTATTTATGTCGACCTTTTTTTTCTCCTGATTTTCTATAAAATAATTATGTAAAAATTACAATGACTGTAATCGCAAACATTTAAAATCAAACAAGATATTGACTGACAAATAGATGTATACCAGGTATTGGACGGCAACATTAAAAAAGCGCTTAAAATAGTAATAATTATAAATCATTAAATAATTCGTTACCTACCAATTATAAAATTGAAACATTTTTAATAACCATTTTCAAAAAATTGCAAAAATCTTGAAATAAAAAAGTTCTTCGGTTTGAAGGAAAATTGAACAATCTCTTGATGAAGTTTTCTTTCAATTAAATAAGTCCTGTGTTGAGCTTTTATGGTAAAAACGGTAAATGCACGAAAAGCACCGATGTACCATACTGTAACTTATACTGTGTAACACTAATATTGTTTTTGTTTTTTACTGTTTCTTATTTTTATTTTAACTATATTTATATACGTAAAAAGCCTTTATTAGTGTAACACAGTGTAAGTTACAGTATGGCACATCGATTGGTTTACGTGCATTTACCATTTTTACCGTAAAAGCTCAACCCAGAACCTATTTAATTGAGAGGAAACTGCATCAATAGAAATACCGTTTAAGCCCAACCCTAGTTAGATAATCTAATGTAGGTAACATAAAAAAATTATAAAGTAGGATAAAATAATAAACGGGATTTAATCATCTGTTTGGAGCGCGCTTTTATTCATAAAATTTATATGTATATATTTTTTTACTAACAGTGACATAATTTATATATAGTGACACTATCTGTTGTAAATCCATTTTACTAAATAAGTTATTACTTTATATAATGGTATAAGAGTTAGGAAATATTAATGACACTTAATTCATAGATAAAATCATTGCCGGATCAAGGTAGAGGGGGGGCTAGGGGGACTATAGCCCCGGGCTCCGCATATTTAGGGGCCCCCAAAATTTTTAGAGGACCTTTTTTTTTTAACTCATTTTTAGGCTCTGGCCCATAAAAAGGCCTCCAAAAACAAAAATAGCCCCGGGCCCCAAGAAGTCTTAATCCGCCACTGGATAAAATCTTTTCAAGGACATTTTTTTCAAAAATAAAAATAAAATATTCAACTCACCTTACCTAACCCATGACAAGAAATGCATTGACTCAATCCTTTTCCAAGACAACTTGAACAATCCTACATAATAGCTTCAAAGTGAACTAACATTTTTTCTTAAAAACTAAATAAACTTCTTAATAACTAAACAATTCGATTATTTTAAAAAAGTTTTCATATTTTATAAAAATACTTAAGCTCCTTAATCCCAGTTAATTGTTTATTAATAGTTTATAAAAGTTCCTGTTTTCTATAAACATCGTTTACCTGAAATTTGTTTCAAACGTTAAAACTTACTTTGATTGAAGCAGTATTTGGAATTTCTAAGTGTATCTCTTTTTGATGAAACATAGTTGGGACTTCTACTTCTATATCCCATATAGCAGGTGTTGAACCATAATTTTGAAAGCAAATGTGATCATTAAGCTCTTCCTGATGCCATTTGGCACTTCTTTCTTCATAAAAAGTTTCCAAAACGTACTAAGATAAAAATTATTTTAAAAATACTATGAAAAGTTAATATACGAATACATAAAATAATCAAAACATTGAACGAAGAAGTACGAAGTTGTACCTGATTGCTATGACAAGGAGCAATTTTTTTGGTCGAGATCTGTTTTGTAATATTATAGTTATAGCAAGAATTTCTTGTTAAAAACATTTGGAAAGCATCTAGGGCTTCATCTTCCGATAGCATTCTATAATTAATTTATACTAAAATAAAAATATAAACCATAATAAAAACAATTCCCGTATTACTTTAATATTTTGTTTAAAGAACAAATCTTTTTAAAATAATTTTCATTGATATTATTTCTTATGCAAGTTTTAAATTGGACCTAATGTACCCACATAAATTTTAGAGGGTTTACATACATGCTATTTTCTCTATTTAGCATTTCGTGTCATAATTACTTCAGCACAAACATTCAACGCAAACATTTGAAAAGGCACTAATTTTTACTCCGTGTTATTATGTTATAAAAAGTCACCTTACAAAATAACAAGTTTAAAACTATTTTGCTTCTGGAGATACGGCCCAACAATAAATTTTGCTTATGATGATACGGCCCGAGAAAAGATTTTAAAAACGTTTAGTGTTAAGTTTTTTACACTCTTAAGATGTCAAAAATTAGACATTTTAAATTAAATAAATTTAATTTTAAAATAAATTAAACAGTTTAAAAGGATATTAATCAATTAAGTTTTATTTAATTGTATTCATGTAAGATTAATATATGTTCTGCGTTGTTTATAGATATGGAATAAAGTTCTTTTACATTTTTTATATCCTTTAGGAACACAAAAAATTTGAAGCATCCAGGCCGTTGTAAGAAAATAATTTTTTTTTTCAAGCTAAAGTAATCTTAAATTTTAGATTTCACAGGGACATGATATCATGATTTATCATATTTATTCAAACTAATATATAAATTAAATTCGACAGTTCATTTGAAGAAAATGTTATAAGTTTGTCCCAAGATTTTCGGAATCTGATTATGCCATAATGTTGAAATAAAAACAAGTATAAAGTTTAAATATACCTTTAAAATGAACTTGTGACCCCTCAACCCCACAATACTTTTCAATTTTGAGCTCAAATTTTAAAAAATACCTCTAAACCTAAAATGAACTTGTGACTATCACACAATATTTTTTAATTTTATGCACGAATTTTAAAAAAATTATAAAATCTAAGATGTCATTTCAATTCTGAACCGTGCTGATGATGTATTAACAAGTTTTATTTCTTTATAAAAATTTGACCTTATTATGTTTTTTTTTCTTTTTAATGTTTTATTTACTCCTAATATATTTTCTATAAATGTTTTATATATACTTCTCAAGATAAAACAATCAACTTTAGTTTTATGTATTTTCCTACAAATGTTTGATTTATTTATCATATGTTTAATACATTTTCAAAAACATTAACTAAGAAAATGCTTACAAATTTTGATTACAATGATCATTGTTGGAAATAGAATATGGAGGCGGGAGTTCATTTACACACTTTGCATAGTTACATGAAGACATCTGGATCCGAGCTAAAATAAATTTTTATAATATTAAATAAAATATGGTAGTTGATTTCCATATTGAACGCAACATCACAACGACAGTCAAAACAAAAAACAGGGATAAAAAAAAATCTTGTGCACCATGGTTCAGTTCTTAGTCCTCCGTTATTCATTATCTTAAAGACTCTTACTAAATAGTTTCGTATATATCTATCACGAAAGTTGTTCTGTTCTCGTAACTCACATTTGATTACAAAACAAAAAAATAAAAAAATACTTGGAAGTGCTGGAAGAATGAAATCTTAGAGATAAATGGTTAACATATATATCAAAAAAAGTTATGCGTTGTAAAGTTAGGACTGAAAATGTGGAAAAGCATAAAATATGGCCATGGTAAGTGCGTAAGAAAAGATTGGAGCAAATGAAACAGGTTTTTGTAAATACCTTTTGTAAATAATAGAATTTGAAACAAATTCACAAGTGATCTAGTGGTTGCCGAAGGAGTCTAGAGATTACTGATACAAGTGCCAAAAATATGCCAAAATGGAAGGAAAAATAATGCATGCGTGATGTAACTTTAAAGATCAAGAAAGTAGGGTAGACCGTGGCTAGTTGCCTCTATTATTACTACTCAGGGCCGCCAAGAGAGAGGGGGGGGGCACCGGAACAATTTGTTCCGGGCGGCAGATATCCAAGGGCGCCAAATAAAATGTAAGTACCTAAAAAAAAAAAAAAAAAAATAGGGAATATTTGATAAATAAGGGTGCCAATCAGGATTGCTGTCCCAGGCGGCGTGACAGCTTTCGGCGGCCCTGTTACTACTTGAACTCTATAACGGCAATTTTTTCCGGAAGACGCATGCCCACTGGGTATGTAATGCATGTACAATACTTCCTGGCAGGGTGTGGGTAAAAAAGTAAGAAATATCTAACCTGCTATATATGACAACTTTAATGTGCAACAAATGAGTATGAAAAAATATATATTTTAGCGAAAATATTAAATGAACAGATGCTTTTTTTCTTTAGCGTGTTAAAATTCGATTAAAAACTTTGTAAAAATAATAGTCAACAAATTAAAGGAACAAAAAAAAAATGTATATTAAAAAAAAACAGAAGAATTGTTAAAAGTATAAGAAAACAACTTGCATCATTAATAAGTGAAAACTTAAAAGTTAATAAGTGCGAACTTAAACGACAGAATTGAAAAAAAAAGAAACTTAAATAAACTACAACAAAACTAATGTGATGAATATTTAAAAAAACTTTGATAATTTTAAACAACTCTTCAAAAAATAAACCTAACGTAAAAGATATTACAATTTAGATAATGTTACGATAACAAGTTTAACACTTTTAAAAAAACAATCGAATTATAAAATAGATCTTGACGAAATAATCTATGAATTGATGGAGTAAAAAAAAAACCTTGTGAAACTTATAATGACCGCGAAAATACAGTAAAAAGTATTTTTAAAAAGCAACTTAAAATCGACAGCGATGCGATTGCGGAACGAGCACATCTAGGCAAAACAAGAAATAGTAAAGCACCTGAAGTTCTAAAGCTCGTGAACTATCAGGACAAAAACAAAATTATAAACGCCGTAAAAAACTTGTGAGGAACTGGTTTGTTTATTAACAAAGATTTCGCAATAAAATTATAGAGTCGCAAAAAGTACATTATGGCTAAAAGAATACGCGGTGAAGGCAAGTATGCTGTAATTAAATTTGATAAAATTTTTAGCAGGGTATTTAAAAACACCATCCCTAATATTAAGTTTTAAAAAGAAATTTTTCTTAAAATAAATGCCGCCCTCCACCCTTAAAAAAAGAAAGCATGACTGGAATTATTGATTTTGAATCATTAAGTTTTAACTTTTCTGAAATAAATGCTGATGAAAATATAGATCGGGATGAAAATATAGATCGGAATTTTTTCTTGAAACGCCTATAAATTGGTCATATCACTATCCAAAAGAACAAAATACTTTTAAATCCATAATTCAAAATTTGAAAAATTTCTTGAGTTGTTAGAGGAAACAAAAAATTGTTTCAATAATTTCTTAACTAAAACGTTATTACGTTACGTTCAAACTTTTAGATTTCTCATTTTAAATCATTTTTGCTTAAAGACAAATATACGCAGCAGGCGAGTTCTTATATATGTGAAAACATCGTTTATTACGTGACGAATGATTTATGGGCTTCTAACTGCGATAAAGAAATTTTAACTATTGAAATTTTATTAATTGTAAACAATCAATCAAAAAACATATTATTAAGATGTTGTTATGAACCATCTGACGGCATGAGCAAAAACGTGAGCTTTATTTTTTTTTTGAACAAACTAATTTTAAAAAGGAAAACAAAAAAACTTCATTACTGAAAACCTAAATAATTTTTTACGAATATTTCCTTACAATGAAGGTTGTAAATTTAAAAAAATTTTACAATTTTTTTTTTTTTTTTGGTTATAGGAGCATTCTATTGATTAAACTACCAACCATCGATTCCCTTGATTAATCGACAGATTTAAAAAAAATCATCAATGATAAAACGGAAGCTATACATTAAATATCCTTAAACAAAATCATATATAAATGAGAAAATATACAAAAAATACAAATACCTATTTGAAAAAGTATGTAAAAAAAATTCTATTAGGTATATTTAAAATTAACTCAATCGCACTTGACATAATGATTCATTATGTCAAGTGCGATTGAGTTAATTTTAAATTATTAATTAAACTATTAATTAAACTATTACAGATGGATGGTTAGTTTGAACAAATTATCAAGAATTTAAAAGAGCTTTCAAAACTCTATAAAAAAATAAAGCAAGTAGAGCAGATAACATATGTTTCGGTAAAAAAAATATAAATGGTTTTGAATACTTAAAAGATATCCTTTTTAACGTTCATAGAGCATCTATCCACCAAGTAGTTTTTCCTTACCAATTTAAAATTGCTAAAGTTACCCAATTTTAAAAGGTGACTTAAAAAATATCAGTAATTATTACTTTATCTCTGTCCTCTCCACATTCTTAAAAATACGTATGTTTATTAAATATTAATAGTCAATCATAAAAGTATCCATAAAAATCATAAAACCATCCATAAAAATGTCGCGCTCTATGGGGGGGGGGGGGGGAGGGGGAGGGAGGAGGGAGGGTAGTGTTTTTGTGACAATCATACAAAACTTGCAACTAACGTGTTACGATTTTGTGAAGAGGGGAAAGGGAAGGTCAAAAACGGTCGAAAATTGCGTTATGTAATTTATGGACGACCCCTTATGCTATAAAATGTAAAATATCTTACCGTAAACAGTTTGTATTTAGTAATGACGATTGTCCGATTAAGTTTCTAAATATTTCATGTAAGGTTCCCCAAATTTTCATTTTGGGACCACTATTGTTCTTGATTTATTTAAAACGACCTAAGCAAAGCCTCAAATTAAATGAATATTTGCTAATAACAATAACTTATATCTTTCCAACAGTCACATTTACAAACTCCACTCTACTATGAATGGTAAACTTAAAAATATATCAAAATGGTTTAAATGCAACAAACTAACTTTTAACATTAATAAAACAGAATAGATCTTTTTCAATTCAGTCTTAAAAAAAAGCTTATTTACCCCGAAACATTTATTGAAACAGATATTGAAATAAAAAAACATGTGTCATAAAGATTTTTTTCGATGACAAAACCACATGGAGACCGCATATTGGCGCATATATTTCTAAAAACATTGCCAGAACATATTTATGTAAAATAAAAAAAAAGATAGCTCAATTTTATTACTCAATTATTCATATTTATTCATAATATGCTGATATTGCACAAAAGCATAGAACAAACGAGTAAGTTACAATGTCTTAATCGCCGTTAGAAATATGCTATACGTTTAATTCAGTTTGCAGATCGATACACTCATTCCAAATAGTTTTTGTTGCAATGAAAATTCTCAATACATATGAGCTTAATGTGTTAAATTTTTTATGCTTTATATATGTGGAAAAATGAATTATCTTTATCCATTTTTAAAGATCTCTTTTGTATAAAACCAAAAAATAAAAATACTCTAAGAAACAATGACAAGATCTTTGTAACCTTTATTGTTTTTATTAAAGGATTTTATTTCTACGATAACAAATGCAAATAATATATATATATATATATATATATATATATATATATATATATATATATATATATATATATATATATATATATATATATATATATATATATATATATATATATATATATATATATATATATATAGGCCTCGGCGGGAAGCGAGAGCTTTAGTTCTCGCTCTCGCCACACTCGCCTAAAACGGTTTACGAGAGCAATTTACGGCTCTCGCAAAAATATAATTTTCTCTCTCAAAAGTTTAATTATCATTGTAACTAAAATAAAAAACGCAGTCATTTTAATAATTATTTTTAGTAAATCCTAAAATGTCTGCATTCTATTACAATAAGAAAATATAAAACTTTTTTTATGAGCAGAAAAAAAAACGCTCGTCTAAAGAATTTAGAGGAGCTAAAGAGCTTAACATGGTGAGCTATGCGAGCTAATTTAGCAGCTCGCATAGCTCACCATGTTAATTTTAGGAGAGCTTTTGGCCGCTCTTGCACTCATTTCTTCCTGCCGAGGCCTGTATATATATGTATATATATATATATATATATATATATATATATATATATATATATATATATATATATATATATATATATATATATATATATATATATATATATATATATATTTATATATATTTCAAAATTTAGATATACAGTTTTGTAAACCTTGTAGTAGTAAAAGGATTTATCTAATATGGATAATAGGCGCCTGTTTATATTGTAACAAAAGTAAATGTAAAAAAAGGTCTTCAAAGTAAACTTAAATTTGTTATAATCAAGAAAAACCTATTATTTTTGTAAGTAATTAATCTTTTATGCCATTAAATGTTTTTTTTAAGATAAGATTTTTGTCTATGAAAATAGCTGTTTTTTAATTATGAAATCTCATCTTAAAAAACAGCTATTTTCATAGCCATAAATCTTATCATAAAAAGAGCTATGAAATGTTTTTAGGCATAGTGATTCATTTGTTTTCAGCAATTCAAGGAGACATAAGAAAGTTTTTTTTATCAAATTAATTATAAAATTAACTTTTTTTTCTTAATAAATACGTCAGAGTTGCTCTATTTTCTGTCTGGTGTTTTCTTGTCTTGGTGTTTTACGCTTGTGCAACAACTTGCGATATTTTGTTAGATTCACTTACACAGCTACTCGCAATCGTGCTAAAAGAATTTTTTTTTGAAAAAATCATTTTCTGTTGAACTTAGGAAAAGAAGAAAACATGCCAAACCAATTAATCATCTTTATAGGAACTGACTTCCTTGAATACTTGTCACATTAAACGTAGAGGAAAAACTGTAAATTTGAGAGACAACAAAGATGTAAATCTTTTCTACTACCATTAATAATTGTAAAATTACGAATATAATACAACAACTTAGTTAATCGTAAAAAACGTACTTTGTTAATCGTAAAAAATCGTTTTTAAAATTGTTAACGTAATTTTATACCCATAACTTTATTTTTTACGCCTAAATAAATACCTCGGTTTCTATTATTGCTAATGGTATTCTTCAGCTGTAACTTTTTTAGAGTTTTCTATGGAGCAAATGTTTATTTTATGTTACTATAGTTAGAGTTTAAAATGTTATAATATTGGAGACAGAAAATGCATAATAAGTCATCTTGCTCCGGACCAGATGATAAATTTATGAATTTTCAGAGCTAGGCGGTAGCGCGACCTGATCCGCTACTCCGCAATTCCGTTACTTGTGAACTTTCTATTTGGTAGCGGAATTGCAAAACTAAGAAAATTGGTTATTGGTCTGAGGTTGATACCTAATAAAAAATTCAAAGCGTTACTCCGCTACCATTAAAACCATTTAGAAATATCATTTGAAGTTGTTTAAGTCACAGACCTTTTCATTTACTAAAAATGTTTTTTTAGTAAATGAAAAGGTCCAAATATAAATTTTCCTGTTTTATTAAAACAATCTATGATATGTTAAAAGTTAAAAACTTAGTAGGAGCGGCATGTGTGCTTTATATAAAATGTCTGCAACTAACTTAACGATATTATTTAAAAGGGAGTGTTTATTAAAGCAATTTATTTCAAAAACTGTTAACTAAACTGTTTCTAGTTCCAGAATATGCTTTTCAAATTTAAGAAGTGTTATAGTAAATTGAAATTTAATTTTTACTAAGGTTTTTTACTGTTCAAGTTGATCGAACAATTACAGACAATTGTTCAAACTATATTAGTGTCTTCAATAAGTTTGGTAGGAAAAACAGAGAGTCCTGAGCTAGTCAACTCAACATCTTTTTTGTAGGAAGAAGTTCCAATTTTTGAAGTTGCCATTATAACATCATTCTAACAAACCACGTCAATCACAATCACCGGCTGTAGGGATATGGAATGTCCAAAATAAGAAGATTGGTGATGATAAATGACATCAGCCAGCGTTGAGGTTTTCTACATCAAAGATCGCCAAAATTCTGCTACGATGCTAAAAAATGCCTATAACTCAGTACGTTATATTTTTTTGTTGTTCATAAATATAACAATATATATTTTCTATAATGTTTACATTTGAGCGATGTTTCTATTCTATTGTGTATCCCTATTACACGCCATTTCTATTGTGCAGTTGTGGGCACAATTTATAGATACAGTTTCTTGTCTCCTTTTTGTGATGCACTTTTGATATTTTGCATCCCAACACTTCCAAAAAAATTTACTAAGTTTCTTTGTTTGAAATGTTTATTGAGCCTTTAGTAATAGCTTAGTGATCTGGCGTCTACGGAGGTTTCTAAAGGCTTGCTTTCTTACTTCCAAAACAGTCAACATTGTCTTTGTCAACTCTGACTTGTTTAAACCTTGGAGGCATTTAAATAAATCATTGAAATTACAATATCTAAAAACTAAACACTACAAAATTAGTTTTCTTAATCCCATAAACATAACAAAACAAAGATCTTGTTTCTTTTAACTTGAGCAGTTTATAAGAAAATAATTTTATTTCTCAATCATTTATATATAAAAGACTAGGGACTCTTCCTCATCTTTGGTAAAAAATTAAACTATGTTCTTTCTCCTTTCTAATTTCATTAACACCAAGTTGTTAGTTAACTGTTTTTAGATCTTTATTTAGTCGAAAATTTTGTGGCCCAACCATATTTATTGGTGATTCGACGCCATTCAACTGCTTCCTTTAACTGCTTATTTTTCATCTTTATGACATCTCTTTGAAAATTGTATCTTGATTTGTTATTTGGTTTAACTCTAAGATTAAAAGACATTCCAATTTCTTATTTATTCACAACTCCTAAGGAATACCAAAACGCACTTTCGTACTCGCACTTCACTTTTGTAAACACACTTTAATTTTCAAAGCAAACGAAGAAAACTGACTAAAATGTGTTTTGAAGGAGGTTTAATAGTAGAACTATACAAAAATAAAACTAAAAATTTGTTAAATAAAGAAAACTTAGTAGGCAAAATAATCATTTAATAACTTCGAGAAGAAATTGAATAAAAATCTATTTTAATTTTTTTTTCAATTAAGTTTCATTAACCTAGCATTCTAAGGTTTCTAAACGTAGCATTTTGTAAAAAAAAGTAAAAAAGGTAAGTGAACCAAACATTTAAAAATACACTCAGCATGAAAAATAATGCTTTTATGCAAAAATTTATGATTTTCTAAACAAAATTGGAAGCATCACAACCTATTATTTAACTTGACATTCTGAAGTCGCTATTGAAAAAAGTACATCCTAAATATTTATCTAAAGACGTGAAAATGGTATCCGCAAAAAATTCAACCTTTATATATATATATATATATATACATATATATATATATATATATATATATATATATATATATATATATATATATATATATATATATATATATATATATATATATATATACGTATATATATATATATATATATATATATATATATATATATATATATATATATATATATATATATATATATATATATATATATATATATATATATATACAGAGGCGATTTTAAGGTTTTTTTTTTTAGAAGTCAGTTGGTACTTTGCAGGAATTCACTACCCCCCCCCCACCCTTTCATTTTATCTGTAGAACTGCCTCTTTATATACAAAAAAGCTTTAAAACTTTAAATTTCACAGACTAATCTTTTAGCGTTCAAAAATTATGACTATATAAAGTTTCCAGCCCTCTCAAATTGAACGTCTATAAGGTCATAATTTTTGAACGCTTAGAAATAATTGTATAAAAATTAAAATTTGTTGATGAATATAAATTAAGTTGAGAAACTTAAAATTTTTTTTATAAACTTGTTACTTTCACGTTAAGGGCAGTTGCGGCCAAAATTTTAAGGCTTTTTTGTTTTTAATCGTCGCAAATATTTGTAAATCATCCTTTTTTAATCCAAGTATAAATAAATATTCGGAGTTTGCTCAAATAACAAAAATGTGACTTTAAAACAAAATTTCGCTTGAATATTCATGAAATATTGTTATTTACATCTTGCATAATTTAAGTATGGGGTCATCAATAAATGATATCAGTAGATAGAGGGGGAGGGCGAGCTGAAAGATTTGAAAATAATTGACAATGAGGAGGGAGGATGAGGGTTATTGAGAGGAAAACAATGTAAACTAAAAAAAAATATTTTAAGTTTATAATTATGCCATCTATAAGTAGAACTAAAAGATATTTACACCAACAATGTGGTATAAAAATTGTATGCTTGCTTGTGCTGGCTGCGATGAATGCAATGTAAACACTACTTATATATCCATAACAAAAATATCAATAAAATTGCATTTCTTTAACTTATTGATGATCTTAAACTGTTCGAATCGATGCCAAACGTCAGCGAGAATAAACGGCGGTTATCGCAATGCAGAAGAGTTCTGTAACTGCCTAATGGTTAGATAATAATAAAGTTGACGCAACGGATCTGATTGTATCTCAAAAAAAAGTTGATTATTTAGTTCGTGAAGAACATTTGTTACCAATTGTTTTAATCAAAGATCACTTTAACAACCCCCGGGAAGTGATTGATCTTATATGACAGATACAGAACAATATTTCTTCAGTTGATTTTTTGATAAGATCTATTATTTTAATCCTTTCTTTGATAATTTTAGGTGAAACAGTCCACAATCATTGGAAGCACAATTTAAATTTAGAACCAGCCTTGCTTTTTTCTTCAAAATCTGAAAGAACAATTTTTTGTCATTTTTTCTACGTCAATTCAGTACTGTTGAGAATAACTGTCAGAAAAATTGGATGGTATACAAATTTAAACTTTTTCTTTTTGAGGGGAGGAGGGGAAGGGGGGTAGGTAATAAAAAATGACATTATTTTTAAGAGGGGTAGGCCAAAACTTGATAAAGTTTGACAAAGAAGAAGAATGGGGGGGGGGGGTCAAAAAATTGGGAAAAATCACTGACATCATTTACGAACGGCACCTAAGATAAATACCCTATTGATCTGAAATAATAAAACGTCTAAATTTTAAATAATGTGTATATAAAAAAATAATGTAGGACTTACAACTTTCAGCATTGTTTTCTGAAGAGAAGCCATTTGACGATGTCAAAACTTTTGACGAAGAATCGTATAAAAGAATAGTTTGATTGGTTAAAGATCTTTCACGATTAGATGATAAAATTTCCAAATCATCAGTTTTATCTTCTTTTTTAGGTGTCGCAGAATCGTTCATACAATTAAATTTATAAAAGAACAATGTTCTACCGGAAGATGACGACAACAACAATGATGAAGGCGATGAAGAACTTTGTCCAGAGTCTTTATCTAATGCTAAGCATTTATTTAGAGAAGGAAAAATAGAACTATTTGAAAGCCTTTCTAAATAAGTGATTTGATTTACATTATCTGCCATAAGGACAACTTATCACTAACAAAGCATTTATACTGTAGTACAAGGTTTTCATAGGTTCAGCCGGTCGAGAACTTTTTACTCCAAAGAAATTTTAAGCTTTTCATGAGGATATAATCGTTATGTTAACTTTGAACAAAAAACACATTAAAACTTTTTTAAAAAGCTTTTATTAAAACGTGCGTTTTTAAGACTTGAAAAACACACCTATGCCGAAAGCATAACCTGTCACTCACTTTATCTTAATAAAAAAAGCGTCATACTTTGCGCTGTGTGACTAGCACACACACGCAAAAAAAAAAGATGTCTTGCAAACAGTTGCGTTATCATTTTTATTATTTCCTTAATAAACCTCTTAATTTTTTTTATTTTAAGTTTTAGCTATATAAACTAAAAAGTGACTTCTCAAAAACAAAAAAAAAATAATTTAAAGCGTGTAATTTTTTTTTTACAGTAGACGAACATTGTGAGCATATTTTTTTAGACATTTCTTGTTTTCTTCCTATTCTGTTTATTTTTTTGCTATTGTTTTTGAAGAAACTTTCTTAAGTACAAAACATGTTTTCAATATTTTTTTAATTAAACAAAAGTTTTTATTTTTTTTAAATTGCAGCGTGGTGCACGATAATTATAGTAAAAAAGAAAAGCATTCTAAATATGTGTTTCGATTTTTTCAAATATAAAAACTTAGTATGAAGAAATGTAATTCTATGATTAAAAAAAAATTTCACTAAGTTCTAGTAAATGTTGATTTGAATCTTTCGCATTTTTAGTTATTTTAAAAGTTAGTCATTATTTTCGAATTTTTTATTAAAATTGAGTGGAGTGCTAACGTTACCAACAGCAATTACTTACCAATATAAATTGTTTTACAAAGCTTTATTACTTTTCTTGCTGTAGACGAAAACGACTTTTAATTAAGAGAAAATAGGTGGCATATAAAAATAAATTTGCAGTAAACTCATTAATGGCTTTAAAATGGTTTAATACTATTTTTTTTTTTTCAAATGGTTTTAGACCTTATTTCAACTAACATCAACCATTTCGATATCCCTCACTGCCTTCTCTCTTCCCTCACTCCCTTCTCCCTTAAGCTTTAAGTATTACACTAGTCATGTTTTTAAAAAATTAACTAATTTGTGTATGCGGTACCTATGATAACCAAAAAATACCCCTAAAATTGCCGAAATAATAAAACAGAAAAATACAAAAAAATATTTGTATTTTTACTATTATAAAATTAGCCATAATATTTTGTAACCATCAAAATGGCACCATCAAAAATTATGATCAAAAGTTTTATTCGTTTTTGGACAAAAAATTTTTTTTATTAAAATAAATAAAATACAATCAATTAATTTTATAGAGTAAAATATCACAAAATGATTTAATGCGGTTATCCTAATATATTGGCAGTGCCGTGGGTAATGTGTCTAAGGCCCCCCTTCCCCCAAAACCTGACGTTAGAGCCCCGAAATCTTAAAAGTTTTTCCATAAGTAATTCTAAAAAAAAAAAGCTTCTTACATTTGCAAAAAGACCCCTAAATTTGAAGATAAGACCCCTAAATCTATTTTTTTTTTTTATTTAAATTTTTTTTTTAATTAAATATCTTTGTTTTTTAATTAGTTAACTTTATTTATTGTGGTATTAATTTTATGCTTTTTATTTTTCAGTAATAGTTTTTGTTCTGTAGGAGATAAGATAGTTATGAAATTTTTGTGATTTAACCGTTGTTGTATCTATAAGTATATCAAGTTAACATCAAACAAAGGTTTTACCAAATGTCCTTTAAGATAAAAAATAAATCAGTTTGAAAAATGTGATTCTCAACTTAATTGACTATTGAACACTAAGAATAAATATAGATACAAGATAAAGTAAAATTAATAATACTAAAAAGTATTATAAGTATTATAAAACAAAGATTATCATACTTATTTAAAAATAAATGAATTTAAACAAATTCTGAATAGTTACCCTATCAATCAATAATCTTGTTTATAAAAACAATGAAAACTTCTAAGAAAGCAATAAAAGCCTTCGCAAAAAGCCATAAAGATTAATTTGCCTAGCCAAACCTTGCTTTAGACAGGCTTTTAACTGTCTGTGCATACACTCTTTCTATTGGTCACTGATTTTTCATCTAATGGTCATCGAAATTTTTAAAATGTTACCAAGTTAACAGTAGAATAAGAGAATCAAGTTCTGGAGAAGACTATGGTAAAAATGTGACAAGAATGTCAAAACCACAAGCTTTAGAGAGGAAATAAATATTATAGACAGTGGATTTTAGGGATTAAACTGTCTTTCTGTGATATAATAGGAAGTGTGTCATTATAAGATTTAGTAAATGATCAAACCCGTATAAATTATTTCAGTATAGGAAACCTTAGCATCAGACAATACCTTTTTGTATTAATTTTTTGCAATGATAAAAATATTTTTGTTTTCAATAGATCTTGTAATAAATGTCAGGTCAGAAGTATGGTCTTCATGATCATCCTGCTACTGGTAACATGTAACCCAGTGCAACCTGTTCCATGTTCTGCTGCCTTGCAGGATTTGCTATCTAAGCAAAGGCTGGAAGGAGTGTTCTTCCTGTCATCAGTACTATCTTATATCAGTCATGCCTATAGTAATTTTTTTTTTTTTTTTTTTTTTTTCCCATATAGTTGGAGGTGCCTTAGTTACTGTATTAGCTCACCTGTAATCTACGTTATATGTATGTTTGTGTTCTGTCTGAACCTCTGGCGCGGTGTTCGCTCACCCGTAAGTTACTTTATGTTCTTTATGTATGTCTGTGTTCTGTCTGAACCTCTGGCGCGGTTTTCGCTCACCCGTAAGTTACTTTATGTTTATGTTTATGTTTTTTATGTTTTTTTATGTATGTTTGTGTTCTGTCTGAACCTCTGGCGCGGTGTTTGCTCACCCGTAATTTACTTTATGTTTATGTTTATGTTTTTTATGTTTTTTTATGTATGTTTGTGTTCTGTCTGAACCTCTGGCGCGGTGTTGACTCACCCGTAAGTTGATTTATGTTTGTTTGTGTTCTGTTTATACTCTAATGCAGCGTGAGCTCAGTAACTAACTACTTACTCCAACTACAAAACGTACACTCACCTTAGACTCCTGTATTTTGTTAGATGCAGTGTTTTTCCTAATGCACTTCCAAAATGTCATGCCTGGTTTTCTCAAAGTACAAAGGAAGTAGCTCCTTTTAACTACTCCAGGTCAGGTCAGGATAGTCGAGATCAATCTTGCTACTGGTATCACGTAACCCAGTACCACCTGCCACAAGCCCTGCTGCCTTGCAGAGTGTGCTCTTCTTATGCAAAGGCTAGGAGAAATAAACTCCGACTAAAAATGCCCTGCCTTGGGGCTCTTGGTTGAGTAAAGGTTAGAGATGGTGTTTCGATAAAAACACTCATCTTGGGCAGATGTTAACTGCATCCAGCTAAACATCCCCTGCCTTGGGGCTCTTGGTTGAGTAAAGGCTAGAGATGGTGTCTCGATAAAAATACTCATCTTGGGCAGATGTTAACTGCATCCTTCTACTGTCTTGTAGAAGGCCTCCTAGGCAAAGACTTTAGGGGTAAGCAGAAAAATTCTGCTAACCAGCCTCGAACCCCTTCTTCATCTATTAGGCTGGCGTAGATGTAACCTGTGTTACATTGTTTCCTGCCTAGGATGATGAATGCTGGATCTCCTTGACTCTACTCATAGAATTTTGCTTATGCCTCCTTGATAATGGCTATGCAACTCTTCCTGTTATCTCCATATGAGGGTACAGCCCTAAAACTCAGTTTAATGGTTCTGAGGCCGGCTGGTAGTAAGGTTTCCCGAACTCTGTGGTAGCTCTCAGAGAGGCTGATTCCATCAACAGCTGCAAAATATCAGAGTATTAACAGTGCCATGTTGCGCATGGATGGTGTTAATGCTTTTGGTGTGCATTGTCAAGGCCACATAAGGAGCCCTATGTCACGGCTTAGGGTTAATTAACAGGACTGAGACAACTGCATAGCTCATTGATTAGGAGGCTGTGCTCTATCTATGAATGAGTCAAGTTCTCATTAAACCCAAATCATGACCAAAGTAACCAAAAATTTAAAACCTAAAAAACCATCCCCACCAACTAAATATTTTAATATATCTTTTACAAATATTCGCGGTCTACGAAGCAACTTTCCATCAGTTGAGTCTTACCTCCTCCAAAATTCACCAGACTTGCTTGCACTCAGTGAAACAAATTTAAATTCTGCAATTCCTTCTTCAGATGTCAGTGTTGATGGGTACTATCCTTTGATTCGTAAAGACTCCAATAGTCACATGCTAGGTTTAGGGGTATACATACGCATTAATTCCCCTATTTGTCGTGAAATCAGGTTCGAATCTTTTGACCATTCTTTTATGTGCTTTCGCCTAGCACCTCTTCACTCTATCACCTTTCTCTTTGTTCTTTATCTTTCTCCTTCTTCCCATGATTGCACTCTCTTAGATGTTATCTCTGATCAAATTGACCATGCACTCTCTCTTTACCCCTCTGCCAATATTGTTGTTGTTGGTGATTTTAATGCCCATCACACTGAATGGCTTGGCTCTAACACCACTGATCCTGCTGGCACTAAAGCCTTTAACTTCTGCGTTTCTCAATCTCTTACTCAGATAGTTAACTTTGTGACTCGTTTTCCTGACAACCCTTATCATTTACCTTCACTCCTTGACTTATGTCTTGTCTCTGACCCTAGCTTATGTTCAGTTTCTCCCTTTTCTCCCTTAGGTGGTTCTGACCATGCAATGATCTCTATAAATCTTTCTTCTCGTACTTCTTTTTTGGGCTCACCTTATCATTGCACCACCTACTACTACCCTAAAGTTGATTGGGATTCCTTTCGTGATTTTCTTCGTGATGGTCCTTGGGCTGATGTTTTTTTTCTTTCAGCTGACAAATGCGCCTCCTACGTAACCTCCTGGATTCAGGCTGGAATGGAAGCTTTTATTCCTTCTCGTCGGTTTCAAGTCAAGCCTCACTCTACTCCATGGTTTTCTCCTTCTTGTGTGGCTGCTATATCCAATCGTAACCATTTTTTTCATCTTTTTCAAAAGAACAACTCTCTTGAGAACAAACGGCTATTTATTATTGCAAGAAATCGATGTAAAAAGGTGCTTTTTGATGCTAAACT